CATTTCGTGGACGGAGTCACGCACTGCATGGCCTTTGTGACCGGCTCACTCCTGTGCTGGCTCCCAGGGCGCTAGGTGTTGGCGGGTCAGGGTTGAACCTAGTTCACAGCGGGGGGCATGCTCGCTCACTCAGCTGGTGGCACACGGATCTTCCCCTGATGCTGTGAACATAGCATGGAAATACGGTTCCTGCTTGTGGGTTGGGTTTTCACTTTCTTGAAGCACAAAAGTTTTTAGTTTTGATAAAAATCCAGTTTATTGTTGTTATTTCTTACGTGAAAATGATATTTGATCAGAGACTGAGAAGAGGGAAAGACGTGAGTTCTGGGGTGAGAAAACACCAAATGGCTGAGCTGGGAGGAGGCGGCTGCTGGTCAGGTGAGGAGTCTGGGGTCAGCTGCTGGGGGGGGCGGGGGGGCTGTGAGCGCCACTCCGTGAGGGTTAGCACAGCGGTACCCAGATCCTCTGCTGCCGTGGTGTGAGGGTGCTCCCCGCCTCTCCTCTGCGGGACACCTCCTCCGCGGACTGCCCGCACCGGGGGCTGCTCTCCTGGCCGGCTGGTGGGCTTTCTCCCCCGCTGCACCCTCCTCAGCCTCCCATCCTCACGCCTGCTCCCTCCTCCTCCTCCCCTCCTCCCGTCCCCCCTCTCCCTGGGGTGCAGGCAGGGCTCTGACAGTGGGGCTGGACCCCCTGCAGCTCATCTGCTGCTTTGTCCTCGCCCACTGTTTGCGACTCCTCCTTCCAGACCCAGTGCCGTGGCCCCTGAGGTGGACAGCCGTTCCGTCACACTCCCAGGCCCCCACGTTGGCTGCCATGGCTCCATGTTGAGCATCGACCTACGAACCCAGGAGGTCACAGTTCGATTCCTGGTCAGGGTACATGCTGGGGTTTTAGGCTTGATCCCCAGTAGGGGGCATGCAGGAGGCAGCCAATTAATGCTCTCTCATCATTGATGTTTTATTTTCTCTCTTCCTCTCTCTTCCTCTCAGAAATCAATAAAAAAATATTTAAAAAAAGTCTCCAGTGTGATGAGCGTGGTCTTCAGATGATGGGGGAAGGGAACCCATTGCCCCAGTTTCTCCGCTTAGCCTGGCTGTGACCACCAGGTGGCGCCGTGGCTTGTGAGCCACAGCTGTTGCTCCAGCCGTGGAGCGGTGCTGCAGGAACCACCTTTGGCCGCGTTAAGGCGATCTGTTAGCAAAGTGCCTAACAAGGGCCGTCTTCTCCCTGGAGAGGGGACCCTCAGAGGACGGCTCTTCCAGCAGCCGCTTATGGAGGCCCGTCCTTCCGTGCTGCCCCTGGCTGTCCGCGGCGGCTTTATGTTCGCGGAGTTTCACAGGATCTCTGCTGCGTTCCTCTTCCACCTGAGAAAGGAGTGGCTCTGCCTTTTCTTGGTGCAGAGACTGACCTCCCAGGCTCTTCAGAGGGGCAGGGGCCGCGGGGGAGGCAGGCTGAGGATGCTGCCGCCCGCCCGCGTTGGAGCTGTGGCCCTGAGGGTGGCCGGCTCTGTTCTGAGGGAGGCACCTGCTGTGTGTGCGCCTGGGCTGCTCCGCGGCCTCGGCAGCAGCGGCTCGCCGTGAAGCTGGGCAGGGCGGCTGCTCCGCCAGGGCTGGGCGCCTGTGCCGACCCTGCCAGTGTTTAAAGCTGCTTTCTCACGTCAACACGCTGTAAGGCTGTTCCTCATGTCAGCGATTGTGCACGTGTGCATCCATCGAGAGGATAGAGATGACAAAATCACCGTGAGTCTGGTAACACTGCTACATGGAACTTAGCCTGTCTCCGTGGTGACCGAGGCTGTGCTCAGCCCCGCGGTGCTGAGCGCCTGTGAGTGCTGGGTCCTGCCCTGCCTCGGCGTCCTAGGAGCCTGTGGTGCCCATGGACCTGGAGCAGAACCACCTGTCCCGGAGCAGCCTGGAGCCCAGTGCCTCCGCTGAGGGTCAGGAGAAGTGCCGCGAGAACGTCTGAAAGCCGTGTTTCAGAGGCCTGGCCCGAGTCCTGAGGGAGACAGGCGTGGCCCGCAGCCACGCTCACTCAGTGCGGGAGCCGGCAAGCCGCTGCCCTTGGCGGCGGAGCTGCAGGAGCAGGTTCAGGAGGTCCTCCCGGACCATTAGGATGGGGAATGACACCACCGCTCTCCACAGCCCCACCCCCCTCCCGGTGCCCACTGCAGCCTGCTCAGACGCTCCGACTTGGCAGACACCCCAGAAATCCCTGACTCAGCCGGGGGCTTCTTCTGTCCTCTTTGTCTTCTGGCCAGTCTTAGAGCACGTTCAGCGCAGCTGTGGGCCTGCTGGGCACACTGTGATCTGCTGATGCCAGCGGCTGCGCTTTATATAAAGGGCGAGGGGGCTGCCAAGACGGGCCAGGGCAGTCCCCAGGGTTTAGGTAAAGCTGCGAGGAGGCGGGCGAGGCGGTGCAGAAGCCCTGGGCGGCGGGCGTGTGGGAGGGGGCCTTCAGGGAGGAAAGCTGAGGAAGGCGGGCTGTGGCTGAAGCTCGGGCGTTGCTCAGGAAGCCCAGCAGCGTGAGGCGGTGGGCGATGGGTGTGTGACAGGCCAGACGCGGTGTGTCCCGCTAGGGGTCAGCAGGCTTCTCTGTAAGTGGCCAGGTGTGTAGGCCTCAAATTGTCTGACATGCATATTCTTTTTTATTCCTGCCAGTGAAATGTACAGAAATGACTCTTCGCTTGTGGGAATGCGGGTGTGGGCCAGTTAGGGCAGTGGGCATGGTGCCCACCTGGGGCCTCCCCCGGGCAGCCCTCTGCTGTGTGAGGAGTGTGCGCGGCTCCCGGTCAGGAGGAGCCTGTGTGCTTTTAGAGGACGTGGTAGATCACGACTCCAGGAAGAGACTGGGAGCGGGGCAGCGTGAGGCTGGCAGGAGAGGCTGGAGGAGTGAGAAGTCTGTCCCTGACGCTGGGGCTTTGGGGAAGAAACGGCTCTAAACAGGAAGGGGGCAGTGAGCGGGAAGAGGGAAGAGGCACAGGCGGGGCTGGGGGGAAGCTGGACGAGGGCGTGCATGGCCGCTACAGCCGGGCTACGGGCTATGGCGGCTGGAAAGTGGGGGGGTCTTTCTTGTCCGATTTGGGACGAGGATAGGTGGCAGGCAGTGTGCTCTAATCCGTGGTGAAAAGACCGGTCAGACATTCAGAGGTGTTGACTGGAGGTGGCAGGATGGTGGGTAATTTTCATTGTTTCTCATTTATGCTGACACCCCTTCCCCATGGCCTGGGGCTGGAGCCCCCATGTGTGCGCAGCATTAAGTAGAAGCAGCAGGTGGGGCCTCCAGTCCCGGTCTTACAGGAGAGAAGCATTGACCATTTTTCAGAGATGTACCTTATCAGGGTTTTTTAATCGTGAAAGAATTTTGTCATACACTTTTTCTGCATCTGTTGGCATGGTCATTGTGATTTTTGTCCTATATTCTATTAATATTTGTTACATTGGTTTTCAGATGTTAAACCAGCCTTGCATCCTATAGTTTTGTAACATGTCTTTGACTTGCTCTGTTTTCTGTGTAATATGTTCTCTCAGAATGAGTGGGGGAGTGTTTCTCTGTACCAACCCGTAATTACTGGTGGGGTTGAATATGCCTACCGGCCATTTGGGAATGCTGTTTAATTCCTTTCTCCATTTTTTTGTGATCTTCTTCTTCTTCTAATTGATTTGTAGTTATTGTCTCTTCTAGAGTTGAACAGCATTAGACCTATCATACTGGCCACGTGGTGGGGTCTGTGTGTGTCAGGGGCGCTCCAGTGGATGTGAGCGCCCCACGCGGGCCTCTGCAGGAGATGGATTCAGATGCTAACAGCCTAGGCGGCGTCCAGTCCTGCAGTTTGTCAGTTACATGAGGACATTCACACAGAGCATGTCTGGTTTAATAAAACGCGTTTTAAAGAATAAAGTAGTTCTTCCTGAACGCATTGGCTGCTTTCATTGAGGAAGTACCTGACTGCATCTGAATGGCTAGGTGGGCCCCTCTTAATCCCCCCCCCCCCCATTTTCCTTTATCATGATAGAATGTACTTAAACATACATTTTCATCTTTTAACCATTTTTAAGTACTGTCCGGTGGCATTAAGCATTTCAGTGTTGCATGACATTGCTATCTATTTCGAAAACATTTCACCCCCCCAGAAGCTCCGTCCCTGTACAGCTGTCTGTGAATTTGCCTGCCCATCTAAGCAGAACTTTACAGGTTTTGTCATTTCGTGTTGCTTATCTCGCTTAGCATGATATTTCCAAGGTCCATCGTGTTGTAGCCTTTGCCAGAATTTTATTCCTTTTTCTGGCTGAATGCTATTCCGTGGTCTGTGTGAACCGCATCTCTTGCTCTTCATCTGCTGATGGACACGAGTATTTTCCATCTTTTGACCACTTTACAGAGCGCTGTTTGAACACTTGTGTGTAGGTGTCTGTTCCAGTGCCTGCGTCCGTTCTCTGCGTATGTACCAGGAAGGGAATTCTGGGTCATTTGGTAACTGGTTAAAAACTTCCTGTCCCACAGCTTCCCCTACCGACACGACCCAGCATTCGGTGACAGCCGTCGGTGGGCGAGGGGCCACTCCAGGTGCTGGCGATGGCCGGTCGGACCGGCTCTCTGCCTCCTGGGTTCTGGTGGGTTTGTCCTTCCTGGCTACGGGAGCTTTAAGATCTTCTCTTGCCGTGACACTTACATGGAGCACAGTTCTCTAAAAGCTCACAGGAAAGTGCTGATCCTATTGAAATGCAAAACAAGCAGAACTCACAGAGAAGCTGGCAGAAGAGGAAGGATTTGGAGCTGGCATCCAGTGAGAGTTGTGGAAACATCAGGCACATTACGGCTCAGGTGCCACAGCATGGCAGGAAGCGCCTTCTGTTGACATCGTCATAGCGGATTGCTGTGCCCGGCAGTTCCAGTGGCTGCTTGTCACTAAATGGTCTTTTCTATTCCACATCTTTACATTGAGAGGAGTGTGTTCAAGAGGAAAAAAGCCGACTGCGTGAGAGCCAGGCATGTCTCCAGAGCAGGCAGGTTCACCAAAACTTGGTTTTGCTGTGAGCCAAACTGAAGCAGCCGCACTGTCCACGTCCAGGAGAGACTGATGTGGAGACGAGGATGTCGGCCTCTTTGTGGAGGGAGAGGTGTGTGACTGCCTCCACTTCGAGGACAGCCAGGCGCCAAGCCCGGGGGCCCTGCCTGCTCCAGCTGACGCACCTGCCAGGCGGGCTCGCTCCTGTGCTCCGCAGAGGAGAGGCAGCCAGCACCTTTCCCAGTTCCTAGGCACCCGGTACATCCGGGTTCAGGGACCGTGTGGCCTCAGGGCTCGGGCCTTGCGGTCTTTGGCCCGGCGGTCAGGACCTGGGGCGCTGGCAGGGCAAGTCCTCACTCAGGACTGAGGCCAGACCCGGCTGTGCTGCCCCACCCCCACCCCCGGGCACAGGAAGAGAAGAGCGCTGTGGCAGTTGTCCGTGGCACCTGCAGCCGTGGTGCTGGTGGACTGTGCCCCGGGGCCGGCAAGTCCCAGGGCAGAGGGGATGGCTTTCCTGCCCGGGAGCCGAGTGCTGGGCCGGGGACCTGCAAGCTCGCTCATGCGCACCCCTGGTGGCTGATGCTGGTTCCGTGGCCGCTGACCGGACGTCCCCAGCAGCCTCTCCTGGGGTCTGGACTCCTCCCGGTGGCTGTGCTGATGTCCGTGCCCAGCCTCAGACTCGGAGGAGCGGACATTGGCCAGGCAGGTGCCGTGGCCCATCCAGGAAACGCCTCTCTGGAGCGGGCCGTGGGCACGGGCTGTGTGCTGCTCTGGATGTCAGTCTTTGGAAAAAGGGCAGAGAGACCTCTGTCCAGAAGCGGGCAGGAGGAACACCCTGGTTTTCTTCTTTGCAGACAGGCAGGGAAGGGTTAAGTAGCAGATGAAAAGGGAGTTTGTTCCCTTAAATATAAATTATGGGGCAAATGTATATTAATTGTGTTTTCCAAATTTAGGAACTAACTCCTTTTCCTGCCAAGGGAAGAAACAAAAAGACAAAGAGGAAAAGGAAGTCTACCAGATATGGAAAGGGCTCATTCTCTCTCTCTAGCCCCTCGGACAATTAGCTGTGAACTGCTGGGCTGGGAGCGCTTACAGTTAGGGAGTGGGGGAGCTCGCCACGGCAGATGTGGCCTGGAGATGCGTCCGTGTGAGCGCCCCTCGGCGTGGCCGCCCGCGCTGTGGGCAGTGCTACTCCAGGGAGGAGGCAGCGCTGCGCAGTCTCGGGGTGGCGTCTGAGCAGAGGAGGACGGGGCGGCTCAGCACTCGGCACCTGGCTTCGGTTAGAGTCACCCATTGCGCTTTTGGGGGAAAGGCCCTTCTCGCCGGCACCTGTGCTGGCTGGACGTGGCCCAGGGGAGGGGTCAGTGACAGTGTCCCGCTGGGGCCCTGCCGTGGGTTGCGGAGCTCAGTGGGAGACCTGGGTCTGCATCACGGGGCCCCAGAGGGCAGGCTCTCCCCTTCTCTTTCGTGGCCGTGCGGTGGCTGAGGCCCGGGCAGAGCCTCGGGCATGCTGCTGTCTCACCAGAGGCTGACCTCCGGGCACACGCTTGTCTCCCCGCCATCCCAGGGCCGCCACACGGGCCAGCCCGGGGGACTCTACGTTCACTTGCCGTCTCTGTGACGTAGGCTGTTGGGCGTGTGGAGCACGTGTTGGGTCCCTGTCACAGCAGAACACTCTGAGATCTGGATGTCAGCCACGCACCAGCACCCGCTTGGTACAGCGGCTCCATAGCCCGGGGCCGTGTGCCCCTCACTGTCGGGGACCCCCCTCTTCACAGCCCGCTGTCCAGCCACCCACCGTGAACTGTCACCTGGGGCTTGGTTTGGGTTCGGGACCCTCCGAGAAGTCATGGTGGCGACTTGCTGGCCTGCCTTGCGGGCACGTCTGACAGTTGTTTCCGTTCACAGGTAGTTCCGGCCAAGGGGGAGGCCAGACAGGACTGCTGCCTGAGGACCGAGCTGCTGGGAGAGGAAGGTAAGGTGGGCCCGCCCGGCCAGCTTCTCCTCTCGCCCCTTCCCAGGCACCAGGCCCACGCAAGGTCTAGGGAAAGAAAAGCCTCATCAGAGAGTGAAAAGCCCTTCCGGTCTACTCAGAGCAGCGAGTCTGAGTGGTCATGGACCAGCTGCTGGCAGCTTCGTTCACGTCCCTCACCGCAGCCGCTCAGGGTGCTGCCCGGGAGCAGTGCTGGGTGCGTGGGGTGCTCCCACAGAGGACGTGGCCGGTGTCTTCGACTTGGGGAAGCTTGCCTTCCCTACCTCCCCTCGGGGCCTTTTCTCAACGCAGTGGTGAGCGAGGCCAGGGACTCCCCCATGTGGCCTGGAGCTGAGGCCGGAAGCCGCCAGCCATGTCCGCAGCAGCCAGCCAGGCTGCATGCCTCCTGCCACATGTGGCCTTGCCTTCTCTGACATCACCATCCTGGTGGTGCTGACTTGCACGTCCCTGATGAATTTGAGCATTTTTTCAGGTGCTTAGTAGCCACTGTGTCTTCTTTGGCGAAATACCCGTCAAGCCATTTGCCGGTTATTAAGGTGGGTCCCTGGTGTAGCGCTCTGACGCTCCCCTCTGTTACAGAGATCTCTATGGCTGCCGATGAAGGCTCCCCCGAGAAGCCGGGAGGAGACGCCCACGTGGCTGCAGACGCCACCAACGGGTCCTGTGAAAGGAGTGATACCAGCAGGCATGTCAGCCCAACTGAGAACACTCAGGACAATGCAAAAGTCAGCGCCCAGGAAGGGCCCACCAAACTGGCCCGGATAGCGGAGAACGGGGTTTCGGAAAGAGACACCGACGTGGAGAAGCAGAACCATGTCCCGGCTGATGACCTCACACAGACGGCCGTCATCGGGAGCAACGGGTACTTCCTGAGTAAACCAGCCCCGCAGGAGCCGGCCCTGCGGGTCCCCAGCACCTCGGCACCCTCCCTTCCCGGCCATGCTGCGAAGACTCTCCCAGGAGCGGCTGGCAAAGGGCGGACTCCCAGTGTGCCCTCTCAGACTCCCGCCGCGCCAGCCAGGCCCGGGGAAGGGAACAAAGACTCAGAGGACAAGAAGCCCACGGCCCTGGGCGCAGATGTCAAGGTTCATAGGGCTCGGAAGACCATGCCGAAGTCCGCCCTGGGCCTGGTAATGCGCCCGTCGGGGGGTGGTGCCGGGACAGCGTCCTTGGTGTTCTCTGTGTCTGTGCCATGGCAGGGGCGCGGTGCAGGGCGGAGAGGGCAGCACATGGGTGGCCGCCGGGAGGCGGGGAGGTTAGAGATGCTGCTCCCAGTTGGAGGGGCTCTCGGCCTGCTCTCTGGGCTTTGCTCTTGGCGGTGCCCATTGCCCGCGAGGAAACGCATCACAGACTGCGCTCCTGCTCCGAGCCCACCCCGTCTCCTCGGGACGTGAGTAGACAGGTCAGAGCCACGGTGTCTCAGAGGGAGGGACGAGGGACCGCATCCAAGACCCCAGCCAGCAGCTGAGGGCTCGGTCTGCCTGAGAACAGGCGGCCGTTCCCGATCACGCCGAGCCAAGTGCCTCGGCTATTACCACGTGCACTCTGAGTGCCCACAGGCTGCGCGTGCTCCCCGTCCTGCTGAGTCGGGTTTGTGGCCAGGTCCCTGGGATCTCGTACAGGCATTGCTGGGTGCACGCGATGCCCGTCTGCCCATCGTCCGCAGGGCCCTGTGCTTTCCCTGGGCAGCGTCCCTGCGGGCCCTGAGGGCCCGGCCGTCCGTCTCCTCAGCGCGAGGAACATGCTCTGTGCGCTGCTCTGTCCGTGGACGTGTCTTCTGCCTTCTCGCATGGCAGCTCACCGGCTTCCAGTTTTGATATTTTTGCTGGCCATTTCATATATTGATATTTTTAGTGTTCACAGCTGCTTTTTTCATAGCATTCTTAGTTATATTTTGTATTATTTTAAATTTATTTTGTTAATGCTCACTTAAGGGTAGTTTTTCCATTGATTTTTAGAGTGGAAGGGGACAAGAGAGAAACATCTGTTAGTGGCCTCCCCTCACCTCGACTGAGGACGGAACCCGCAGCCTTTCGGTGCAGGAGGCGTGCTCCGCCCACGCAGCGGCCAGCAGGACGCGCACATGTTCCTGTCTGGCCTGTGTTCTCGTTTCTCTGGGTCAGCGCAGGAGCACAATTGCAGGTCACGTGGTGATTAGAGATGTAGTTTTATAAGCAACTGCCAAGCCACCTTCCAGACCAGCCGTGGCCCATTCCACCCCGGCATGGGCTGCACAGCCAGTTCCTCTCGCAGTGCTGGGTGCCGCCGTTTAATTGTGGTTGTGAGAACTGTTGTGTTTAATTCTCTGCACGTCCTGGTGGCCATGGTGTGTCCTTCCCGCAGCGCTTCCACTCCCGTGCTGGGTTTCACCTGCGTGTCCTGTGAGCGCGGAGGCTGTGGCCGGAGCCGTGCTGGGCCTGCGCCTGCAGACTGTCTGGCTTGTGCGGCTTCACGCTCGCAGAGGGTCCCGTGGGAAATGCTTCCCTTTGGTGAGGTCCAGCCGGCACGTGGAAGCTCCTCCTCATGGCTAATTGTCTGGTGTCACGTCCAAGAGCCTCGTGAGCCCTAGGTCCCCGGTTTCTCTGATTCTTAGGAGTTTTTTACTTTCATGTGAACTTCAAATATAGGACCCATGTACCCATTTTGAGTTAATTTTTGTATTAGGTGTGAGGTTGAGATGAAGTTCATTTTTTGTGCCTATTTTTTCTTGGCCCACCATTATCAATTTCAAAATGCATGTGAGAAATTTTACACCACTTATTTAATCTCCTTGAAATTATACTTTTATTCCATTCCCTCTTCCAGGTGTTTATTCTGCCATATTTTTATTCTTGAGGATCTTTTGTCATCTCATTAAGTTTTTCTAGGGAAAGAAAGCAATTTAAAATTCAATACCAAGAGTTTCTCTGACCATCGGCTTCTATAAGTGTCAGCTTTGTTTTGAATTGAGTTCTTATGATGATTAGTATGCGGTTGGCTGCAACATATCATTTTGTTGGAAATTGCTGCACATTCTCAGGCTGGTCAGTTGTAGGAAGAGTGTGGAAGGGTGTGAGGCTTGGAAACCGATTTCCTGAAGGCCATGCCCGCCCGCTCCACAGCCCGGACACTGTGTGCTCCTGGGGTCCCTGTGAGGAGATACCCGGCCAGGACCCCTGCATGTGGTGCCCTCGTGCTTTAGGCCTGGCCTCCGCTGCCCTCAGGATGGCCAGCTCCCCAAACCCGCTTCTCACTTGTTTGGTTTTCTTTGGAATCTGAGCTTTATTGAAAATTGTAGTTTTAAAAAAAATTCTTGCGGAAACCTTTGGCTCAGTGGACAGAGCATCGGCCTGCGGACTGAAAGATCCCAGGTTCGATTCTGGTCAAGGGCATGTACCTTGGTTGCGGACACATCCCTAGTAGGGTGTGTGTAGGAGGCAGCTGATCGATGTTTCTTTCTCATCGATGTTTCTAACTCTATTCCTTTCCCTTCCTCTCTGTAAAAAATCAATAAAATATATCTTTAAAAGATTCTTGATTTTTAGAGAGAGAGAGAGAAAGATGGAGAGAGAGAGGGGAAAACATCAATTTGTTGTTCTACTTATTTATGCACTCGTCGGTTGATTATATATAATGTGTGTGTGTGTTTATACACATAGTAATTTTTTTATTTTTAGAGAGAGTGGGAGAGGACGATAGAAAGAAACATAGATGAGAGAGAAAAATTGTTTGGCTGCCACCTGCATACCCCCTATTGGGGACTGAGCCTGCAACCTGGGCGTGTGCCCTGATCAGGTATTGAACCAGTGACCTCGGTGCATAGAATGACGCTGAACCAACTGAGCTACACCAGACGTGCATTGGTTGATTCTTCTTTATTTAATACACACACACACACACACACACCAGAGGCCCGGTGCACAAATTCATGCACCAGTGGGTTCCCTTGGGCTAGCCTTGGGATTGGGCCGAAGCCAGTTCCGACATCCCCTGAGGGGTTCTGGATTGCGAGAAGGTGCAGACCAGGCCAAGGGACCTCACTGATGCATGATCGGGGCTGGGGAGGGACATGGGAGGTTAGCCAGCTGGGGAGGGACCATGGGAGGGCTCCAGGGCGTGTCTGGCCCATCCTGATTGATGGACCTCAGCAGCAAGCTAATATACTGGTTGGAGTGTCTGCCCCCTGGTGTTCAGTGCACGACATAGTGAGTGGTTGAGCTGCCTTAGCATATCATTAGCATATTATGCTTTGATTGATTGACTCGACAACTGGACACTTAGCATATTAGGCTTTTATTATATAGGATATTTTCTTGATTTCAGAGAGGAAGGGAAAGTGAGAGAAACAGTGATGAGGGAGAATCCTCGATCTGCTATCGCCTACACGGCCCCTGCTGGGGATTGACCCTGGAACCTGGGCATGGGTCCTGACCGGGAATGGAATGGTGACCTCCTGGTTTATAGGTTGACGCTCAACCACGGAGCCATGCCGGCCTGGCATTGGTTGATTCTTTCATGTGCATTGGCCTGAGTTCAAACCCACAACCTTGGTATATGGGGATGACAGTCTAACCAACTGGGCCAGGGCTTGGAAATGGCGTTTTAAGACAAGTCATTTCAGTGAGAAAGTGAATGTTGGAAAAGGTATCTGTCAGAGTGTGAAATGCAGGCGTTTGCAGGCCTCACTTCTGCCCCCTGGCAGTGCAGTTGTCTGCTGCCTCCCTCCCTCCCTCCCTCCCTCTCTCCCTCCCTCCCCCCAACCCCTCCAGTGTTGGTCCTGGCAGAAAGCAATAACATGGCAGATGCCTCCACTGTTTGGGCAAAGAAAGGGAAATTTCTAGAAGGGAGCCTTTAGGCCTGCATTGAGGTCCTTGTTACCTCAGCCCACAGTGCAGCCCGTTTCTCTACCTGCACAGTGGCCCCTCAGCTTTCTCCTTCCCGTCTGTGTCACCACTGCCCCTCCTCCCATGTGTCCCCGGATTCCCCAGGTTCTGAGGAAAAGATGGGTCAGTTCTTTGAGCTCCCGCCATCCTCAGCACAGCCCCCGCCCACCCCGTGCAGTCGCATCTGCTGGTGCGGAGAGGGCCGCTGTCTGTGCCGGAGGGCTCACCCCGGCCGGGGAGGGTGGCCTGGGGACACGGGCGCGGTGATGAGGACTGCACCCTGTGGCCGTTTGGGTGCCGGTGGGGTGTGGGCCAGCCTGGTGCAGTGGGTGGCAGGTGTGACTCAGTGCCCTCTAGGAGGGTGACAGTGTCCTGGGGGCAGGGGAGGGGGAGGCTGAGGCGCCCAGACCCATCTAGGCAGCTCTGTGCGAGGCAGTTCTTGTCTCATGTTTTTGCTTTGTCAAATAATAGTGCCTAACAAAACCGAGAAGCTTGCCTTTTTTAGATTTTCAAAATAGCGTCTTACAGAGCAGTGTGTCCCTGAGTGGCCTGTGCTGCTTTCCCGAGGCCCCGTCTGCCTCTGTCCGCCGTCTGGGCCTTGTAGGGGCACAGGGAGCAGGATGCGGTACCTGGGCCAGTGACACACCCACCTGGCACTCCATTGGAATAGTGCTCCCTGTGCAGGGGGAGGGGGAGGTGCTCCCTGTGCAGGGGGAGGGGGAGGCTTTGGAGGAGCAGCACGTGGAGCAGGTGGGGGAGTGTCCCTTTCAGAGAAGGGGGTGGCCAGGGGCCAGTTAGAGCCACAGGGCCAGCTGCCGCCTGGACAGTGACCCCACCCATGAACAGGCCCAAAGCATAAAATACACCATCTCAGCCAGTTCTAAGCGTCCCGTTCTGGACACAAAGGACATTCAAGGTGTGGAGCCACTGTCACTCTCTCCGGGATCTTCTCATCTTCCCACATGGACACTGTCCCCTTAAACACTCATCCCGCTGCCTCCCCACCCCGCCCACCGCCAGGGATTGTCTGTCTGTGGGTCTTACTCCTCTAGGGGCCTCACGTTCTTAGCCGGCGGTGCAGACCCTATAGTCCCGGAGCCAGGCGCACTTCCTCCCGCCTCACGGTGACACGTGTGCAGAGAGGAGCGGGGCCCGGGCCACAGGCTGCGCGCCGGCTGCGGTGTGCTGGCTGCTGGTGCGTGATTACGGTCACTGACTGCCTTTGTCCTGAAGCCCACAGCCAGCAAGGACCCCCGAGAAGCTCGAGGTCAGGAGGAGCCCGCAGAGGACATGAGCAAGAACGTTTCTGATTTTGGACGACAGCAGCTTTTGCCCCCCTTCCCACCCCTTCACCAGTCGCTACCTCAAAACCAGTGCTACATGGCCACCACGAAGTCACAGACAGGTGAGGCCGGCAGTGGCCGGCTCCGAGGTGAGGCCGGCAGTGGCCGGCTCCGGGTGTGTGTTTCCAACCTTCCCCTGCCCACCCAGAGCCGTGTTTGACTCTGAGTGTGAGTGTGCTCAGGGTTGGGGCGCTGGCCTCGGGGGTCCTTCTGGGCTCCCCTGGAAACCTGCAGCGCCCCCCTTCCCCCCCACACACCGGTGCCTTGTCAGTCTCACATGAAGATTGTCTCCATGACGGAATCTTACTGCCCTGGTCCCCTGTTGGGTGGAAGATGCTGGCTGGCGAACTCCCCATGGTTATTGGGGGCCCTGTGGGCGGAGGGTTTGGGAATGGTGCTCTGGCCCCAGCTGTTGTCCTCCCCTTTGCTGTGGGCGCCCTCTCTCTGCTCAGCCTGCTTCTGCTTCTGCTCTTGCCGTTGGGGCTGAGGCTGAGCATGCGTTTGGTTGGGCCTCCGGCAGCAGGTGGCTGCACGAGTGGCCCCCAGGAGGCCGGGGTGGCGGGGCTTGCGCTGGAGCCACTGGACACAAGTCCTGCAGACAGGACGCTCCCTTCAGTGTAGCGAGCCCACACAGTCTGGCTGCACTGCGGCCACTCCCCTGAGAGGCTGCCTGGGGCGTGTCCATGGTCGGAGCGGCATGTCTTCTGGACTTTAAATACTTGCGCCTGTAGGGACGTCTGACCTCCGGCCTGCAGGCCCTCTGCCGGCATCTCCGCGCCTTCCCCGCTGTGTGCTCCCCCCGAGACTCCTGAGCCCGGAGCGTGGGTGCAGACACGCCCCTTTGGCCTCTAGATACTTCAGAGTTGTCTCCTACAAGGGACGCATAATGTCTCTGGAGAGGAGCACTGCCATCGGGGCGGTAACCGCGCAGCCACACTGGCCAGCTTTTGCCAGTTGCCCTGAGAATGCCCTTTTCAGCAAAGAAAGCAGTTTCTTTTTTTTTTTTTTTAATATATTTTATTGATTTTGTACAGAGAGGAATGGAGAGATAGAGAGTTAGAAATACTGATGAGAGAGAGTCATCGATCAGCTGCCTCTTGCACACCCCCTACTGGGGATATGCCCGCAACCAAGGTACATGCCCTTGATCGGAATCGAACCCGGGATCCTTCAGTCCCCAAGCCGATGCTCTATCCATTGAGCCAAACCGGTCTCGGCAAAGAAAGCAGTTTCTCTCAGTGGGTTTCAGAAACTTTTAGACCCTGGAGTTTTTTTTTGTTTTTTTTAAAGTTTGGTTCCAGCTTTGTCCTCCCTTTTCTGTGGGCGCTGTCACCCAGCACCCTCCTGCCTTGAGCTGGTGGACGGAGCCAGGAGGAGGGTGGCAGGAAGGTCACTGCAGGGGCGGGGCTTTCAATCCCAGTTGCATCCGTACAGTGTTTTCTTATGAATTAAACGGTCTGCCCGTGAGCGCCCCTGCCGGCGGCCGTCCCGTGTCGGTGCTGCCTGTTGGTGGTCAGGCTGGGAGCTGTCCCCCACCTGGAAAACACATTTGAATGGCGCTTCCTTTTCTTGTCTCCTTTGACTTTCTTTTTTTTTTCTTTTTTTTTTTTTTTTTTAGCTTCCTTGCCTTTTGTTTTAGCAGCTGCAGTGTCTCGGAAGAAAAAACGAAGAATGGGAACCTATAGTCTGGTTCCCAGGAAAAAGACCAAAGTGTTAAAACAGAGGACGGTGATTGAGATGTTTAAGAGTATAACTCACTCCACTGCAGGCGCCAAGGTACGGGCGCAGTGTGCGCCGTGTGTCTGTCCAGGACCCTCTGCGGCCTGGGTGGGGGGTGGATGGCCTGTGTCCCTTTCGAAGGAGCCAGGCTGAGGCGCCTCGGCTCTAGGCCATGCCTCCCGTCCCTGTGGTGGCGGCGCCCTGCGCTGGGGGGTGGCAGGCCGTCCTGCTCCCGGCTCCACGTGACGGATGCCCTGCCCCTGCTCAGAGCGAGAAGGACCTGGGCGACAGCACCCTCCACGTGAACGGGGAGAGCATGGAGATGGACTCGGAGGAGGAGGACTCCGAGGAGCTGGAGGAGGAGGAGGACCAGGGCGCCGAGCAGGCTGCCGCCTTCCCCACGGAGGACAGCAGGACTTCCAAAGAGAGTGTGTCGGGGAGTGACCGCACCCACAAGGTAGGCCTGTCCCTCCTCGGTCAGGAGGCTGCAGCGCGGGCCTTCGTGGATCCGGGAGTTGGCAGTGGCCCTTCTAGGCCCCCTCCATCCCTGCCTGCATCTGACTTAAGTTTCTGCTTACCTTTCCTGCATTTAGATAACCTTTATGTTATCAGGGATGTGTGTCCCTGTACCTGTGTGGCAGGGCTGCGTTGACCTCCTTGAGCTCTGGGTGGACAGGACTCTGGTGGCTGACTGCTCATGGTGCTTGCTGCTGGCCGGTGGGGCCCCTCCCCAGGCGCAGCCTCCCCCGCTGAGGCACTGATGGGAGTCCCTGTCCTCCTGGTCGGAGCCAGTGGGTATCCACGGCTGCTGAGGGACATGCAATCGGGCAGCCCCTGGTGTGTCCCAGGGGCCAGGCATGTCCTTGTTATGTGGCCACCCGAGGACCAGCTCCAGGAGGTGGCAGGGTGGCAGCACGGTCACAGCTGCCGCATCGTGGCCCTGCCAGCCAGGCACTGCCTGCAAGTGGCCCTGGGCTCCGTCCTGGCCAGCGTCTCCAGGGGCCCGGTGGGTGTGGTTTCTGAGCAGATGCCGTGGATGGGGGAGCATTTGTGTGCACTCAGTTCTGAGGGGAAGACAAGAAGGGGCGTTGGGAGCTGGGGGACATGGATGCTGTGCTCTTCCTGAGCCGTATCAGTCTTGGCTCAGGAAACTTGCAGTCACCTTTGAGCTGACCATTGCTCCGAGCCCCGCTGAGCATTCTGTCCCGTCGTCTGTGGTTGTGCGTCTGTGACGACGTGGCACCAGGAGCGTGTGTGACCGTGGGGTGGGCATCCGCTCTGGGCCGGCTTGTCTCCCAGCCCTGCCTGGGGGCTCGCAGCCCAGGCCTTGCCTCTTGCTGTTCCTCCTGGATCCTGGGTGCTGGCATTGATGTAAGCTGTCTTCTAATACTTCATGGATATCACCTTCTGTTCATCAACGTTTGACTTACAGAACTAATTTGGTGATAAAATGTAATGTTAATGCACTCAAAATGGCTGAATGCTATGGAACCCATTCCCTCGAAATGGCTATCCACGTACGTCAACAGTGTTTACTGGCTGATTCTCCCCTGGCTGGTTTAAAAAGCCTCCGTTGTCATAGACACTACGGCACAGGAGTTTGAGTCTGTAAAGGGGAAAGCTAAGTGAGTCTCCAGCGAACCAAAGAACCAAGAAAAGGCAGACAGAAGAAGATACTATGGCCAGCGGGAAACAAAACCAGATGGCGGGTATGGCTCTCAGTCGGCAGCTGCAGGGAGCGAGAATAGATGTCATGGTCACGGCCACTCCAGGGAGAGAAAGATGGTCCATGCACCTGCGGACACTCCTCACGCCTGACTGCGTGTCGGTCGACAGCCACAGGTGTGTCACACGGTGGCCGTGCGAGGGGCAGACTGCTCAGCGGAGACAGGTCACAGGGCCTGTTACCAGCACTGAGTGGCCGAGATGAAAGGGGGAGGCCGAGAGCGTCTGTGTTTCGGGGCGCCTGTGAAGCCAGCTGGGGTTGGGGTTTGGGGATGACCTCGTGATCCCAAGAGTGATAAGGACTTCGTTGGCCAGTGACCACAGAACGCCATGCCTGAGTGTTCGCCGGCCGCCCTCAGACAGCCCTGCTTTGTGCTGACGGAACCTTGCGTGGGCATGTGTTAGTGTGGCTGTCTCTGCAGTGTTACGTTTGTGGTCTTTGTACTGTTAATTCATTTTCATTGTTATATCACGGTGTGTGTTTTTTTAAATTGATTTCATAGAGGAAGGGAGAGGGAGAGAGATAAACATCAATGATGAGACTCATTGATTGGCTGCCTCCTGCATGCCCCCTCCTGGGAATGGAGCCTGTAACCTGGGCGTGTGGCCTTCAGGGAACTGAACCCCAGATGCTTCAGTCCACCGGCCGACACTATTGTGGAGCCACCCTGGCGAGGGCTATCACGGTGGTTTTTAAAGTCATCTTGGTTCTCTGAGATCCTCTCTGGCCATCTTGGGGTCAGAAGTTGCTGCAAAATGCTAAAATTGTAGTTGTCTTTAAACTGTCATTTATTGGAGCTGTACTGTGGGTTAAACATGCTCGTTTTAATTTGTGACAGAAATACTATCGGACATAACACAGTAAAGGCTCTGTAATTCTTAGTGGTTTTCCCGAGACCAGAACTCAGCTTGTGGTGTCCCCAGGTGCCTGCTAGCCGCCCAGAGTGCCTGCCGCTGTGGGACCCGCACGACTTCACGGCCAGACTGGCCTCCCCTCCCGAGGGCTCAGGCACGTCTCCTGTGTGTCCCTGTGGGACCCCACTCGGTGCAGCCGCTTGTCGGTGGGGCGGTTACATTCCAAATCACTTGGTAGCAGGGGAGCCCGTTGTGTGTTCCTCCCATGGCAGCCGCCTTCTCACTGGTGTGGCCAGCATTGCTGTTTGGTTTAGAAGCCGGTTTGAGGGTCTGGTCACGTGGCAGGCAGCTGGGTGGGGGTGGTGGTTACAGATGTTCTGAGCGTTGGGAGGAGGCGAGGCGCAACCCTCACTTCCCAGCCTGAGGTCGGAGCTGGGTCTGGTGACAGGTCGGCCCCAGAGCCTTCGCTCCCTCCTGTCTCAGCCTGCAGCACTGCCCGGTTGTCCGGCTGCGGTCCCTCTGCCCGTCCCTTGGGTGTGATTTGCCTTCTCAGCAGCTGTTGTGTGTGCAGTTTCCCAGCGACCCTGCCAAGTCCCCTGCTCCTTCCTTCCAGGTCTCACGGCACGAGCTGGGCCACTGAGTTGTTAACCTGCTTGTTTTGATGGTAGTTTCATTGCTCAGTCTGCTGCTGTTGTTAATCCTCACCTGAGGATATTTTTTCCATTGATTTTTAGAGAGATGAGAAGCGGGGAGGGGAGAGAGAGAAACATTGATGTGAGAGAGACATACGGTATCCATTGCTTGCCTCCCGAATGCTCCCTGACTGAGGCCGGGGATTGAGCCTGCAACATGCCCTTGACCGGCATTGACCCTTCAGTCCAAGGGCTGACGCTGTAATCACTGAGCAACCTGCTAGGTTTCATTGTTCAATCTTTTTAAAATAAAAACTACCCAACGAAACTTAAAGATACCATATAATAAATAAAGCTGACGGAAGCTATCGAACCCTACCAGACAGGCTGCTGTGCTCCTCAGTGGTGAGCTTTTAAAGCATTTCTAACAGGAGTGAAGGGGAGGGTGGCTGCCGTCTACCCGCCTAAACCCGCAGCGCAGTCCCTGAGATCTTGTGGGATGAGAACCAGCGGGAAACGTTCCTGTGGCAGGACCAGGAGAAAGAAGTGTTTGCGAGGATGGATTCCCCTCCAGCGGCGAGACCGAAGCGGGGGAGGAGCAGCTGGAGAGCCGCGCCCGTGCTCCCGCACAGAACCAGGGAGCAGGTGGTGGCGGGGCCCAGCCTCAGGGTCAGGGCCCGGCGGTGCAGGCGCGGGAAACGGCGGGTGGCACCGCACGGGCCACGCAGTCGTCCAGGACAAGGTCGTTGAAAAGCAGGCACTTCATTGTGGCGCTTCGAAGGGAAGACTGTGAGAAACAAAGCACAGCTTCTCCCCGTAAAACTAAAAGCACGATCTGTGACGTGCTCACCGGTGCGCTGGGCATGGATTCCACAGGAAGTGCGCGCTCCCTGTGAGAAGAGAGCGTGAATCTGCTGGAAGAGGCTCAGAAGAAAGACGAGCTGGTGGCGAGGCCCATGGCGTGTCTGGAGGGGAGGACCGTGCTATGTGCACCCCCAGATCCGCTACAGGATTGTCGGGAGCGGCGGGCGCAGGCCTTGTGGCCGCAGGATGGGAGCGAGGGCCGTGGTGCCCGAAACGGGGCTTGTGAGGAGAGGCGGGCGGGAGCTTCGGAGGGCCGTAGCAGCCGTTTGTAGTAAGACCGAGTTTACTGCAGGAAGAGAGTTTAGGTTGTGGCCTAGGGACCGTGACAGTTTGTAAATGTTGGAACAGTCGGCTGATCTTCGGGGAAAAGGTGTGAGCTCCTGCTGGATGGTCCCTAACTAACGCCACCTCCTTCTGGAATTGGGGTGATGGCCACCCCAAGCATACTGAGAACCACCCATCAGACACTTGATAGCGACGCGTTTCTGGGTGAAGAGCCACTTCCCGGGAAAGCTGTTACTTAAAAAAGTAGCTTCCAGAAGATTTAAAGTACTGCTGGGTGGCAGGGGATCTTGGGACTCTTCTGATGGCCAGCGAGAAGAGAGAGAAGCCCGAAGAGAGAGGTGGACACGTGTGGCCGGCCCAGGTCACCTTCTGAGTTTATATCAAAACCCCAGAAGCAAAGCTCCAAGAACTTACCGCAGAAAACACCTGTGACAGTCAGCCGGCACCGTGCCAGCACCTGTGTGTGCAGCTTCCCAGAGCGGTCAGAAAGCAAGAACCCCAGGTGGTGTGGGTGCGGTGAGGCCCAGCGGAGGCGGAGAGCACGTGAAGCCGTGCCTGTGGGGCTGGTCCCTGCGGAGGGTCCTGTGGCTCAGTGCACGGCCACGTGTGGAGCTGGGTGCCCTCGAGGCGGGGCTGACGACGCCCCCACGTGCCCCACAGAGGCCAGGCCAGCACGTACGGGCCGTCCCTGCCGCCAGGTCCGTGAGAAGCACATGGGTGCTCATGTGTGTTTTAGCATGTGTCACCCATGTGCTAGAAAAGGCTTATCTGCAGCCAGTAAGGTCTGTGTCGATTTGATATGGAAAGAACTACAAAACGTGTTTTACTTAGAAGAAATAACATCCACAAACTGCCTGTGACGGCTCGTCATCTGACAAGACAGAAATGCTCTGTGTTCAGCCCCTGTGGGCACCGGCAGGAGGCCCTGTGCCGATGGGCCAGGTGTGTCTGCGGGGGCCGGGGTCATTGTCTGTGACTGTACCCTCTGACCTCACCGCGTGTGCTTTGGTACTGCCCAACCGAACTCCACGCTCAGAACCGCAGGTGATGGGCCAGGCACTCACCTCAGCGCTGACCATGTGAGCTCCTGCTGTGTTTGGAAAATGTGGTTTTGATGGAATCACTGCCACTGGAGCGTCTCATTGGTTTCTGTTTTCTTTTTGGCTTGTTGTGCGGCTGGTCAGATGGATGGCGAGTCTGAGGAGGAGCAGGAGTCGGCCGGCACCGGGGAGGAGGAGGAGGATGGAGACGAGTCCGACCTGGTAACCAGCGGTGCATTCTGACTTCGTGTTTTTAGCCCAGGCACCAGGAGGCAGCGTCATCCGTTCACCGTGTCTGTGCGCGTGGGGGGACAGGGCCTCGGACAGGAGCAGGAGCGGCACTGCAGTCAGGCCAGGCAGGGGTCCCCCGAGACTGCTGCCACCGCGTGGCCTGAGGAAGGAGGCGTGAGGGGTCAGGGAGAAGGCACCTGTCGGGGTGGGGGCGGCAGGCGGGGTGGGGTGGGGCGGGCGAGGCCAAGTCTGTGGTTAGCACTGGGCAGCCAGTGGAGTCGTCACGGAGGCAGGGCCCTGGGTGGGAGGGGGAGCTTGGACGTGGGGAGGGATGCAGCCTGGGCACCACGGCCAGACAAGTGGGTCCTGGGACCGGCAGGTGTTCTCCGAGCTGCAGAGAGGGAGCTCAGGATGGAGGTCACGTGGCTGGAGGAGCACCCTTAGGAGGCAGCATGTGGCGTGTGGTGTCAGCTGGTCTGGGCGGATGAGCGGAGGGAGGACACGGACGTGGGGACGGTGTGACGTGCCGGGAGCTCTGGGTGCAGTGCTTGCCAGTTCTTCCTGAAGCTTTGCCATCAGGAGCTCCAGGGGGCAGGGGCAGGGGCGGCGGGCTGTGGCGAGGGCCCACTGGGCGGAGCACTGGCACGGTCAGCACCGGCGGGGGCGGAAAGGCCAGGCCCTGCACCTGTGCGCCTTCGTCTCTGCACACGTTCTTTCCCGTCTGCCACAGTGGGCAGGAGTCTTCGGTGCCTCTCGCCCAGCTGCAGGGCTGGCCAGCTGCGCTGCGAGTCTGTCTGTCTGTCTGTCGCTCGTGGCAGGTGGACATCCTCCCACCTAGACTTAGAAACTCAGGCCAGCCGTGAAGGAGAGCAGCGTGCCCCCCGCGCTGCCTCCAGCCTCTTCGTGAAGGTGGACTGGAGCTCCGAGGTGCCTCTGCGCAGCGTGTGGGCTGGGGCTCCGCGCGTTGGCGCTTCCTGAGCCAAACTCCAGACTTACACGACCCATTCCCGTGTTCCGAGCGCTTTCGGGGCCTAGAAGATAAACTGGCTTAGAGTGATGTTTGGGGGAAAGCCTGAGTATCTTTAAGGATGGGATCCAGAAAAAATGCCTAAAAGTGCAATTAACTTTTTAGTCGTAGAATCAGGACGTAGCAGACGTTTTACCCACAAAAACCAAGCGGTGGTGTGTGGGCTGGGAGGCCCCGCGCTTAGCTCTCCCTGTCTGCCCTCTGCTGCAGAGCTCCGAGTCCAGCACCAGGAAGAAGTTCCTCAAGAGGAAAGGGAAGCCTGACAGCCCCTGGGTCAAGCCGGCCAGGAAGCGGCGGCGGAGGAACCGGAGGAAGGCCTGCAGCGTGCTGGGTGAGCAGCCCGGGCCCTGGGCGGGAGCCGGGGGCGGGCTCTGGAGGAGTCCACCTTTAAAAGAGGAGGAGAGGTGTGTGCCACTCCTGCGGGGCGGCCCTCAGTGACTGACCCTGAGACCCTGTGGCACTCACACTTCCGTGGTGCCTGCGAGCTGATGGGCTCCTTCATCGCCTTCCCTGGTGACCGGGAATGGTGGCCTGTGTGGACCTCAGTGTCCCAGGGCAGTGCCTCGGCCCGCTTGGTGGCTTTCAGCCCCTCGCTCAGGTCCCCCTGCTTCAGGGGGCCTTTTGTCAAGGGACACAAGGAAGGCACTGGCCCTCAGACCCAGGAGGTCAGCAGCCTGGGGCGGGGCTAGTGCAGCCACTTGTTTTCAGAGGACTCGGCATTGGGGACAGGGTCCCTCCCCTGCCAGCCTCCTGTCCCAGTCACCCAGCCTCACTTGTCCAGGCAGGTCACACCGCAGTCTGTGTGGATGCATGTGGGCAGGCGCCTGGCTCTCGGGCAGCTGCTTTGTGCATGGCTGTTGGAGAGGCAGCCACGGTGCTGTGTGGGCTGGGTGGCCGGAGACCAGGCCAGGGCTGCCCACGGGGCCTGGGTCCCTTGCTTGCTGGGCTGTTGTGTCCCTCCCATTGGGGCTGTTTCCGAGGGAAGCGCTGGGCACACCGTGCTGTCTCAGAGCAGATGCTCTCCCTGTCGGGTCGACGTTTGGCCTGGAGGGCTGGTCCCGTGGTGTCTGACTCGGCGGGAAACCGTTCCAAAGCACGGACCTCTTCCCCGTGCGCAGCCACCGCTGGCATCCTGGTGCTGGGTCACGTTTCCCCCTGCGTCTTCTCTGGGAAAGTGTTTTTCTCTCGGTGGTGGAAGATCGCCGTGTGCCTTCCCAGGGAGTGCCAGTCCTCGGTGAAGTGCGTGTTCTGTGAATGTGTGCACTAGTAAAAGTTTAAAGTACGTTGAAGTCTAACTTATGACTATATTCTTTCCAAATCCTGCTGTTAGTGAGCTCAGAGGTCTGAGCTAACTGTCAGGCACAAAGTCTTTGTCCCGCCTTTTCTTGAAGTCTCCATCTAGCCCTGTCATGGGTCTCCGATGCGGCTGAGCTGGTGCCGCGTGGACTTTCTCTTTGCACCTTCCCACCTTTGCTGACAATGTTGGGCATTTCTGGACATCCTCGTCTCTTCCTTCTTTCCATCCACCCGTCCGTCCATCCATCCATCTGCACCTCAAAGCTGCAGCACCCCGTCACTTTCCAGATTATCTCAGCTCCCTTCATGCCCTGACGGAGAGGCAGCTCTGCTCAGTGGGACAGCTTTGTCTCCCCTGAATGGAGGCGCTGTGTGTGCCTGTCACATGTGAGCCTGGACTCGGGTGTCGGGGGGCCTCCTTGAACCTCATGCTCCTTCCCAGTCGGCTCCTCGCTCATCAGACCTTCCCCATGGGCCAGCTGCCCGGTGTGCTCCTCTGCGGCTGACTCGCAGGGACAGGCCGGGACGGAGCGCTCCTTTGGGGCAGAGGTGTCACCTTTGCCTGCTTGGCTTGGCGTGACGTGTACAGCACATGCCTGAGCACTCCCACGGGAGCTGGAGCGTTTCTCTGTGAGGCTGAAAATGGCACAGGCCCTCCTGCTCTTCCGGGGTATGCGCCTTCTCGCGGGTGCTGGCTCCCTGCCTGTCCCGCACCCAGAGCAGAATGTGGTGGCACTCAGGCGTGATGCCACCCCTCCGCGATGCCGCCTGTGTCCGAGCGCCTTCCTCACAGCCAGGCCCCGACAGTGGCAGGCTCCAGGACCTCCTCCTCTGCACACACGCCGTCCCTGGGCTGCTAGATGGGCGACCCTGTCCTGGGCCCAGGGGTCTGCATGCGCGGGCGGCTCCTTGGCTGCCCAGCGTCTGGTCTGGCCCTGCGGGTCGCGGAGCCCACACACCAGGCGCTCGCTGTCCTCTGGGCGGTTGGCCACTGGGCTCTGGCTGGTCCGTCAGAGAAGGAGGTTTGACACATCTGAGCCTCGGTTTTGCTTGACACAGACCCTCCCACGAGTCGTGAGTGGACGGGGGGCTCACAGTGGGTGCAGAATGGCGGGGGCTGCGGTGGCCTGGACCACGTGGCGGTGATGGCTGAGCTGAGCAGGATGATTGGTACCACGTCTGGGGCGCGGCGTTGACAGAGGTGCCTTTAAACCCAGGTCCTGAAGCGTACACGTCGTCTTCGGGGAGCGCAGAGCCGGCGGCCCCGGGGGACAGCGCGGGGTACATGGAGGTGTCTCTGGACTCCCTGGATCTCGGTGTCAAGAGCACGCAAGCAGGTGAGCGTCAGGCTGATCGACTGGCTCCGACTTGCCTTCCTGTCCCCTGGTGGGCATTCCTGGCTGTGGCCCCAATGGTGACGCTGCCCACACAGCACCTTGTCGCTGGTGTTTCCCTGCCCTGATGTTGTAAAGGTCGTGAATAGTCCCTTATGGGCTGCACTTCACTGTGGGGGGTGGTGTGTGTGTGTGTGTGCACGTATGCGCGCGCGTGTCAGCAGCCGGGGCAAGGCTGGAGCGAGAGCCGGCACATGTTCCACTGGTGGGGATGTTCTCGCATGTCTGACTCCAGGGCTGGCTAACGGTCCCGACGCGGGCGAGACGGACGGCCTCCAGGAAGTGCCCCTCTGCAGCTGCCGGATGGAAACCCCGAAAAGCCGAGAGATCACCACTCTGGCCAACAACCAGTGCATGGCCATGGAGAGCGTGGACCACGAGGTGAGCACTCACTCTCGTTAGCCAAGCAGGGGCGTGGCAGTGCGCGAGCGGGTCTGAGCATGGCAGGTGCCCAGGCTTACAGGCGCAGAGCCTGGGGGGGCAGCAGAGGTGCTGGCCTGGAAACGCAGACTCGGTGGCGAGCTCTTAGGGCGGCGATGCCGGGGTGCCTCGCCCGCCTGCTCTGAGGCTCCTGCTCCCACGAGGACCCGCCTGCTGCAGGTGCAGGCGTGGGTAGGCTGGCGGCCTTGAGCCTGCAGCGCTGATGTTCACGTCTCGTCCCGTCACTCAGCCTGTCCACAGACCCGCCCGCCCTCTCCCAGGACTTTCCCCTGTGACAGAGGCACGCACACGCCTGGCCCGTCCCCGCCTCTGCCATCTGCAGCCTGACTCGTCGCCCTCGCCCTCGTCCTGACTGTGAGCTGGCATTCCAGCGCAGACCCACACACCACTAAATATTTCAGGATGCGTTTTCCTAAAGAAGGACATTTCTCATGGAGCAGAAATAGCACTCCTGTTACATAATGCCCAGGCCAGAGTCAGATGTCTGTGAAAACCGTCCTCTTACAGTTTCCCCCAGGGCCTCCTCGTGGCATTGGCTGTGTGTGCCCTGTGCCTTTCTGCCTCTTTTCACCCAAGCTCCTGCCACACCTTGCCTCCGTCCGCTGTGGGGCGACCCGGACCCCCGACGCTGCAGCTGCGGCTTCTCCTCCGTGAGATCGGGTCCTCGTCCTGTGGCCAGAGCTCAAGGTTCGGGCACACCACCCTTCAGTGGTGTGTCTACTTACCTGCCCAGAATGCTCTGGCGTGGTTTGTGGGCTCCCCGCACCCCAGCAGTGGTGCTGAGACACTGTCTGTGCCGTGTGGCGGCTGATGCCCTGCCTTCAGTCCTCAGCCTCCCATGTCCTTGGGCACTGCCATTCCTCCCGCAGTCCGGCTGGGACTTGGCACGGACCTCCCCTCTGCTGGCCCTGAGGACAGCATCATGGCTGCTGCTCGATCTCTTCATCCTTCAAGTAATGAGCGGGTGCCAGTGACCCCTGCACAGCCTGCCCGTCCCGGCTCCGGTGTGGGCTGTGTGTCTCCTGTTTCTCCGGTGTCGGTGGTAGTTCGTCAGCGTTGTAAAGGGGGGCGGCTGGTTCTGTTACTCGGGTGGTTTACAGGGAGACTTGCCTTCTCTTCTAGTGTCTCATTCCTTTCCCAGTCCTTCAGACAGTCTGTTCCATCCTCGTCTGAGGTTGACCAACCCTCCCTTTCAAAGCATCACTGTGGACATGAATATATATAAGTTTTTTATGTTTTTATTGGTTTTCAGAGACGAAGGGAGGGGGATAGAGAGATGGAAACTCTGATGAGAGAGAAACATCGATCGGCTGCCTCCTGCACACTCCCTCCTGGGGATTGAGCACCCAACCCAACCATGAGCCCTGATCGAACCAGTGACGACCTGGTTCACAGGTCAATGCTCAGACACTGAGCCACGTTTTGTTCTTGTTGGTGCTCCAACAGTCCCATCTTTGGCGCACATGCCATCTTCACGTGACCCTTTCCTGGGGCCATGCCTGTCCCACAATGCCGAGAGGCTCTGTGCCTTTCACTGCTTCTCTCCAAGGGCCCAGCACCTTCCTAGGTGTGAAGGTCTGAGTGACTCGGAGCCAGTCATTTCCCTGGTTCTGCAGAACCATTCAGAGTGCAACACACCCGTGGGCTTCCTGGAGCACTCTGAACTGGGCCATTTCCCAGCAACCGGTCCTTTTTTTTTCCTTTTTTAATCCTCACCTGAGGATATTTTTCCATTGATTTTCAGAGAATGGAAGAGGGAAGGAGAGACGGAAATATCAATGTGAGAGAAATACATCAATTGGTTGCCTCGTGCACACACCCTGACCAGGGCCCGGGAGGAGCCTACAACCGGAATCAAACCTGGGACCCTTTGGTCCACAGACCAACACTGTCCACTGAGCCAAACCGGCTGGGGTGCAACCAGCCTTCTAAGAAACTACCATGTACCTTTTTAAAAATAAATATTTTTTAACTGCAAGTTTATTTAGCACAACAATACCTCAGCTTTACTGAGGTGGTTGACCATGTCCATGACTAGATCCACCTCTAAACTAGAATTGATGGTTGGATTCCCAGTCAAGGCATAGGCCAGGGTTGTGGGCTTGATCAGTGATTCTCATCATTGATGTTTCTCTCCTTCTCTGAAATCAATAAAATTATAGTAATTTTTTTTCTCTTTTGGAAACTTAAGTTTTTTATGTTAGCAAATGGTAGATATATTGCTATCTTAAAATAAATTGTTACTTAAAATTTTTTAATTTCCAAGAACCAAGATCATGGGATAGGTAAACACCTGTATTTGACACCTCCCACCTCCCACAACTACATCAAAATTACAACTAAAATGCAGAACAATATCATTCAGAACCACCTGAAAGCTGGCTGAATGGAAGCCCTACAGCTAGAGAAGAGGGAAGCCCCGGGAGACCGGGAGAAGGACGGAAGGGCTGGTCTGAAACCCACCTGTGTTCGTTTGTTGTTGTTTTTTAATTGGGAGGGAGATAGTCTGTTTGTAGCAGTTTTTCCATATGAATGGCCTGTCCTGGCTCAAACCCATCAATGAAAGGCTCAGGACCCGGCACTAGCGCCAGCCTGCCTTGCTTCACAGGTGAGCCTCATCTGGGCACCTCCGAGCCCAATACAAATAGGAGGAATCTGCAGATCCCAATGGAGCTCCTGCCTAGTGGCCCCAGGCAGGGCTGACTGCACCCCCAGGAGGCCCTAGAGCCAGTGCCCCAGTATGACAGCTTCAGACCAGCGCAGCTCACAGCTCTCCACACCCACAAGCAACCCACAGAGGGCAGACGCAGGGAGCACCAGAGCCCCACTGAACAAGTCCTGCTCCTAGGGGTGTCTCCTGCACGGCAGCTCTCCCACTGGAGTTGCAGCTGGTCCTCATGCCAATTGACCTGGACGTGAACTCCTCCCAGTGACTCCGACAGCAGTCGAGGATCAAGTACAAGACTGTGCACAGCCCACACGGGCTGGGCCGCTGGGCCCTACAGGACACCTGCCACACAAGACCACTGCCGCCTCCAGGGGCCAGAGCATCTCTACCGAATACGTAGAAACAAGCACGGAGCAGCCAAAATGCAGCGACAAACAAGTCACAAATGAAAGCAATGAAAGTAAGCAAACTGCGGGATACAGAGTTCAAAACCATGGTTACAAGATTACTTAAGGATCTTCATGAGACCTTCAGGGATCTCTGTGAGAATATCCAAGATATGGCCCTAACAGTTTGGCTCAGTGGATAGAGCAATGGCCTGCGGAATGAAAGGTCCCAGGTTTGACTCCAGTCAGGGCATGTACCTTGGTTGCGGGCATATCCCCAGTAGGAGGTGTACAGGAGGCAGCTGATCGATGTTTCTAACTCTATCTCTCCCTTCCTCTCTAAGAAAAAAAGAAAAAAGAATGTCCAAGATATGAAAAAGGACCAGTCAGAAATTAAGCATACACTAACTGAAATAAGGAATAGTTTACAGGGATTCAACAGTACAGTAGAGGATTCCGAGAATCAAATCAACAATTTAGAGTATGAGGAAGCAGAAAATACCCAATCATAAGAACAAACAGAAGACTCAGGAAATATGAAGATAGCGTAAGGAGCTCTGGGACAACTTCAAGCGCACCAACATTCCCAGGGATGTCTGGGGCTGTACTCTTCCCTCAGACTGTCGTGATGCTCAGCGGTCTCCTCCGGTGTCAGTAGCCTTTGTGAGCAAGCTCCTTGGTCTTCGCGCTGCCCCGTTGCAGCTTTACTGAGGCCAGTCCACACGCAGGCAGCCCCCTGCACGTCCTCGTCAGCCTGACAGTGCAGCCGAGGAACCCCACCCGGCCGGGGCCTGCTGCTCGGGCCCTTGGTGGGTCTTGGGTTCCTGCCTGGCGTGCTGGTCCTGCGGTGCTGGCGCTGCAGCCCAAGCTCCGCGGCCTGGCCCTGCTTCCTCCTCCTCCGGCCTGTGGTCTGAACAGCCCGCCGCCTCTGCGCTCTGACGCCCGACGTTGCCCCCGGTTGCCGCCTCCCCTTGGAGGCACCTGCCCTCGCTGTGTCCGCCCTCATGTTGGCAGCGACTCTGCATAGCACCTCGGGTTAGCCTTGTGTGCGTGTGGGTCTCCAATGCTTACTGGTCTGTGTGGGCACCCCCACGTCATGTGATCATGGATGTCGTCCAGTCACAGTTACTGTTTTACTGGAGTTGAGGCAGCCACCTGCTATTCCTTTTTCTCCGGGTTGAGCCTTGTGCATTGGGGGTCTGTGATTGTAATTTATCCCACGGCTGGCTTTATCATTTACGTCTGTTCCTAACGTCGTCAACGGGTGCCCTGAGATTACGCTGTCTTAACGGATCTGCTTCTCTTCATGGCTGCTGTGCCGCTCGACGTGCCGTCTGGCTTGGCAGAGCTCTCCCTCGTGTCTGTGCACGTCTTAGCCTTGTGTCGATGGGGTCATGTGTGTGTTGTGTCCACACACACACACACACACACACACACACACGGGCTGCTATTGCTTTCACCTGCCTGCCGGCTTTCAATGGGGCGACGCGCATCCTTCTGTCACCTGCAGCTTCATGCCTCGGCAGTGTCGTCTCCCTCTGGGTTATCCTCGTTTCTGTAAACCCTGCGTCTGCCTGTGTGTCCTTGCTCCTGGTGGCACAGCCTGCTCGTCACGGATTCTCTCCCTTCGCTGTGCCTGACAAAGCCCATTTGCCTTCATTTCTGGAAGGTGTGTTCATGGGAGAGCTGTCGGCACTGCGGCGTTGGCCAGGTGACTCGGGGGCTTCTGGCGACACGCGGGCCTGTCTGACCTGGTTCGTGCGTGTGGGGAGGCTCTGGCCCCCGCCAGGGCCCCCTCCTGGCAAGGGAGGGGGTGCTGCCCTTTGTTTTCCTCCTGGTGTTTATCCCTGTGAGGCTTCTGAGAGCCGCTCATTCCTAGAAAACCCCCACCGGTAGCAATTTGCTTTTCAGCCCGTTCTCTCCGGCTCTGGGCTCGGGCGTGCATGTGAGGTGCGACCTTGCCACACAGCTGACAGCTGCTCCTCTCCTCTCCTTTGTGAGCTCACTTCTCTCCTCCATTTCAGACTCCGTGGTTTCTTCCTCCTTTGGAGTGTGCGTGTGAGCACGTTCTATTCCAGCATTTCCATGTGCATTTCCTCGTGTCTCGGCTGCTGGGGAGCTACCCAGGCCATCCAGTTGTTTTTCTGTCACTCCTGCATCTGCTGGTGGCGGGTCCAAACCCAGACCCCTCAGTGCCCAGCTCCTGAGCCCGGCGCCTGCTTCTCTGTGTCTCTTACCGAGGGACTCCAGGCTAGATGTCTCTCGTTTGTTCGTCCTCCCCTCCCCTCCCCTTCCCTGGAAGCAGGGAGGGAGGCAAGTGGAGGAGCAGAGAGAGCGAGCAAGAGAAACATCGCTGTGAGAGACATGTGGGTGGGTTTCCTCATCGTATGCACCCTGACCAGGGCCAGGATGAGCCTGCAACCCAGGCCTGTGCTCTTGGCCGGAATCGAACCCAGGCCTTGCGTCCGGCCGACGCTCTAAGCACTGAGCAGCACCGTCCAGGGCTGACGTGTTCCTGAGGAACACAGAGACCATCTCCTGTTTGGTAGTGTGGCCCTGCTTTGTCCTCCGGTTCTTAGCCTGTCTCCGTTCCTGGTGGCGGCATCCTGCGTCCTGGATGCTTGGAGCGTCTGGGCTGTGGGCCATGGTGGGTCTTCTCGGGGCAGAGCTGCCTGACCGTCCGTCTGGAGCTGTGCTTCCTCTTGTCCGTTGTGACTGGTTGCTGAAATTGAGAAACGCCCTCTGCAGAGACTTCCATGGAAACCTCATCTGTAGCTAACTGGTCACCCATCGTCTGCAGCCTGGTGTGGCCTTGGCTCTGCTGTCTGACATGTGCAGGTTTCAGGGAGTCCCTGCTGCCTGTCGCTGGCCCCTCACTTCATGCTCCGCCTGCCGGCCTGCCCGGCGTGTGTCCATCTTTGCACTCAGCCTAGACCCCGACTCGCTCAGGATGTTCTCCAATGTTGCCGAGTTAACCAGCGGCTGCTCTAACTCTGCGTGGCTATCCATCACGTGGTCGTCCTCTCTGGCCACGTGTGTTCTGACCTCCACCCCGGCGCTCGAGGTCTGCCCTGGACTCGCCTCCGCCGCGCCACCTGGTGCTGTCGCTGACCTGTGTTGTCTGATTGCAGCTGGGCAGGTGCACCAACAGCGTGGTCAAGCACGAGCTGATGCGCCCGTCCAGCAAGGCGCCGCTCCTGGTGCTGTGTGAAGACCACCGGGGCCGGATGGTGAAGCACCAGTGCTGCCCCGGCTGCGGCTACTTCTGCACGGCGGTAAGCGCCCGCTCGCCCGCAGCCAGCGCCTCGGCCGGCACACGTCTGCCCCCAGGGCAGGCGCGGAGGCGCAGCCCCCAGCTTCTGAGACGGGGGTCATCTGAGCTCTGTGCGTGCACACAGGCTCTCGCACACGCACATGCACATGCAGCACACACATGCACACGCAGCATGCCCCCTTCCTCCTGCCTGTGGCCTCGGCCTCTAGGAGCACCGGGGCCTGGATGGCAGGCTCTGGGTGCCCGTGTGAGTGCACAGCCCCCGCCCTGAGAAGGGCACGCTCTGCCTCTGCTCGCCCTCGCCTCCTGCTCCTCCTGGGTCATCTCCGCAGCCACTCCTCCTGCAAACACCTGTGCGCAGCGCTCAGGGCCTCCCGCCTCCCGCCTGCACAATGCGCTTTGCTCCCGGTGGAGGGGAAGCGGTCCGCTCACCATGTGCCACGGGAGGCTGTCCCGAGGTCGCTGCGAGCCAGGTGCTGACAGCGCCTCCCCCTGGTGCTCTGCCTACGTGTGCTTTCCGGCTGTCCCCATGGTCCTTCGTGGGCCTGGCCGAGGTGGCCTCTCCCCTGTTCGGACAGCAGAGAACCGGGCCGCGGCTTGGGGCTTGGGGCTTGGGGCTTGGGGCGTGGGATGGGCCCGGTAAAGGCTGCACACACGCAGGCAGGCAGGCAGGATCGCAGGACCTCCCCGCGCTGGCCTCCCTCCGGTTCCGGCACACGTCTGCTTTTCTGTACACTCGCTCCACTTTAAGCACGACCCCTGCTTTCCCGCCCAGGGCAGCTTCATGGAGTGCCAGCCCGAGAGCAGCATCTCGCACCGCTTTCACAAGGACTGCGCCTCCCGCGTCAGCAACGCCAGCTTCTGCCCCCACTGCGGGGAGGAGACCTCCAAGGCCCGGGAGGTGACCATCGCCAAGGCGGACACCACCTCCACCGTGACCCTGGCCCCGGGGCAGGAGAAGAACTCCGCCGGGGAGGGCCGGGCCGACACCACCACCGGCAGGTAAGTGCCAGGGACGTGTCCGTCTGTCCTGTGGCTGGTGCCGCTGCTTGTCCTGCCTCCCGCTGACCACTCTGGCACCTGAGATGCTCGGCTGTCCCTGGCACAGGCTCCTCCGGGCTGCTTTCTGGAGCCACGTGCCTGTTTCTGAGCCAGGGCCTCCCCGTCCACATGATGTGACATCATCGCGTCTTCTGGAGGTAGCATAGTTCACTGGGTAGCTGTGTACATCAGAAACACCTTTACACGTGTGTACACATCAGTACACAGCTACACATGCCGGTGTGCACCTATACATGCACACACACGTCTATACATGTAGGCATGTTCATAACATCGGTATTTTGTGTCTGTACACACCTATGTGTGTGTGTGTTTCTGTGTCTACACATTCCGTGTGTGTGCACATGCGTACACATGTACCTGTGTGCATCTATATGTGTGCGTGTTTATGTGCACCTGTACCTCTATGCATACGTGTATTTTTATATAGCTGTACATGCCCGTATATGTGTGTGTACATGTGTAATGCGGAGCATTAGAGTCAGCTGATGCTATCTGCCACAGCTTGATGTTTTGAAGGCCCTAGCTGACCACAGGAAATGAATCATGTAAAAGACAAGGCTTCGCATGGGAAGCACTTACATTTCTCTAAGAGAATTCAATAGGAGCCCTGGCCGGCGGCTCAGCCATAACATCGTCCCAGACACCAAAAGGTGCAAGTTCGATTTCTGGTCAGGGCACCTGTGGGAGGCAGCCGATCAGTATTTCTAAATACTCTCCCTCTCTCTAAAATCAATGAAAACAAGGGTTAAAAAAAAATCGGCTGAAAGACAAGGGGTCACTGAGTGCGAGGAGGTAGAAATACCGCAAATCGGTGGCCGTGTTCCCTGCCAGCGGAATCCACCTGGAAAAGGGAGAGAGCCCTCCGACCTGCAGGCCCAGAGCACGCAGGGCCCTCGGTGCTCCACGCTGGTGCAGAGCGCGGCCCGACGGCACCGAGGTCACTGAGACCTGCGTGCAGACCCGTCAGCACTGGCAGTCCACTCCTTCGCGCTGAGGTGACGCTGGGGCACTGAGGGCCGATTGTCCTGGCCCGTCCCGGGCTCGCAGGCTCAGCCTGGAGCGCGTGCACAGAGCAGATGTGTAGGACAGGTGCCGGGAGTGTCCTGTTGCCAGGACTTGACTGTGAGCCCGGCTCCCCGGGAGGGCCTCGCCCTCAGAAGAGCAGCAAGCTTGGGGTCCGGGAACGAAGTCCGTGTTTTCGGGGTCTCCCGACACTCAGCCTCTCCTCGCCCCTTCTCCCTGAAGCGCTGCGGGCCCTCGGCTCTCAGAGGACGACAAGCCGCAGAGTGCGGCTGCCCACGTGCCCGAGAGCTTCGACCCCGCAGGGCCGGCCGGGCTGGCCAAGTCGGGGCCCGGGAAGGAGACCCTGGAGAGTGCGCTCATCGCCCTGGACTCGGAGAAGTAAGGCTGCGCTTTCGGCTGCCCAGGGCCCGCCCCCACCTCCCCACCTCCCCTCCCAGAGCCACCGCCTCCCCCCACCCGCGGCGCCGCCTCCAGGCTGTGTGCCTGCTGGCCTCACGTCCCCACCGCTTCCATTCTCGCCGAGATCGCTCTTCCCGGGGTCTGCCCGCTGGGCTGCGGCTCCCGGGCGGTCACTGGTGGTGGCTGTCCAGCAGGGCAGTGCCCGCGCTGCCCCGTTTGAGGAAGGGATTGCGAGTGACCCCGTTACACTGAGGGCAGTCTTGGCGAGAGCCACGTATTCCCGCGTGCTGCTGGCCTTCGCTGCCCCGGGCCTGGCGCCGGCTCTCGGGGCCGCAGTGTCCCTGACAGGGCTTCTAGAGCGAACACTGCTCGTCACAAGTGCAGCACCAGGGCCCTGGGTGGAAGGGATCGGGCCGGAGCCGTGCGGGCAGGTGTCACGTCGGGGCTGAGGTCCACCCTGCCTCCCTCAGTCCGGTGCGGATGTGGCCAGGGTCCTCCCTCGGGCTCAGGAATGGACACAGCTTAGGCCATGGTGTCACCCTCAGCTTTGTGACCCCGGGCCTGGCTGTCCCCGGGAGTTAAACACTGGAGAGACTGCCCGAAGGGCTGTCGGGTCTCATCAGCCCCCGGCGTCCTTGGGGAGGAGCGCTCTGTGCCTGGCGATCCTGCCCTCCCTGCGCACAGGACCCTGTCCCACGGTGGGTGGAGAAGGCAGTGGCTCGTGTTATGTTAGTGGTGTGCCATGCCGTGAGCCTGGAGGGTATGGGGCCCTCGACCTGGAGGAATTGATGGGCAGGCGGCGTGAATGGCAGCAGGTGGGCGGTGCTGACACCTGTGCTCTCCCTGCAGACCCAAAAAGCTGCGCTTCCACCCCAAGCAGCTGTACTTCTCCGCCCGCCAAGGGGAGCTGCAGAAGGTGCTGCTCATGCTGGGTGAGTGCCCGGCACTCCGTGGGCCCCCCGCCTCTTCCCCCATGTTCCCCGGCCCACCAGGCAGGCCCCAGGCCCCAGGGAGCAGACACCAGTCACCACCTTCCTCGTGAGCTCAGAGCCTGTTGATGCTGGTCACACGCAGTTGTCCGTAGGAGTGGAGTTCTCTATGAATCTCTCACTTTAACAAGGGGTTAAATTCGGAGGAAGTGCAGACTCAGCCGCCCGGTGAGCTGGCTGCGGAGCCACCCTGCACCTGTGTGTGTGGAGATGCCCTGTGGGGTGGACGTCAGGGTCCCTGCCTCCTCACAGCTGTATTCCGAGCTCCCAGCTCTGGGCCCGCTTTTTTTGGGCTGAGAAGGGGATTAGAACTCCATTTCATAGTAAATCAGGAGAGAAACTTAACAGTTTGCTCCAGAAGTTGTTTTGAGCCTGGCCGGGTGGCTCAGTGGTGCAGCATCAACCTGTGAGCCAGGAGGTCACAGCTCTATTCGCAGTCGGGGCACAGGCACGGGCTGTGGGCTCGATCCCCAGTGTGGGCGTGCAGGACGCAGCTGATCGTGATTCTCTCATCATGGCTGTTTCTCTTTCTCCTCCTCCCTTCCTCTCTGAAGCCAATAAAAACGTTTAAAAGTATATAAAATAAGTAAAAGTTGTTTTTAATGTTCACCTGTGGCCCAGGTCAGACAAGGGCAAAGGGAGAGGATGTGTATGGACAGGAGGCTTCTGACGCCTCCCTCGGCTGACGTGGAGACCTCGGTGCGCTCCCTTCAGCCGGTCTCCACCAGACCAGGCGCTGCTGCTGCCGCCGCGGCTTCAGCCCAGCCGGCGGTTCAGGTGCCAGCGACGGCCTGCTGCTGGGAATTAGCGCCGGCTCCGAAGTAAGCAGCCAACCTGTTTGTTCACAGTTGATGGGATTGACCCCAACTTCAAGATGGAGCACCAGGGCAAGCGGTCCCCCCTGCATGCGGCGGCGGAGGCCGGCCACGTGGACATCTGCCACATGCTGATCCAGGTGCGTGCGGGCTGCCCCGTCCCCGGACCGCAGGCTGCGCGCCTCCCTCCTGGTGGCTCTGAGACACCCACTGACCCGGCACGCTCACCCTCCCTTCCTGTCTCCTTCCCTCCCGTGTGCCTGTCACTCGGCCACGTCACGTTCTCCCTGCCCCGAGGCAGCAGGTGCGAGCACCGAGCAGGATCCAGCGCCCTGCACCCGGAGCCGCCTCAGAGGAGCGCAGCCGAGAGGAGACGCGTGTGGGCTGGATGTCTGGCCCCAGCCGTGCTCCTGGGCCTCCCAGCCCTGTTGCGGGCGGAGAGCCGCTGTTTGGGCGTGGCTGTGTGGGTAGCACGTGGTGAATGTCAGGAGCCCTGCCTCTCAGTCTGTGTGAGGAAGGAGTCCCGCGAATGCTGTAGTGTCTGACACCGGTTTATCTCTAACGCGTTCCATTGTGGTTGGAGCCCCGCCCGGGGGGGGGGGGGGTAAGGGAGGGGCGCCTCTCCGAGGGCACTCGGCCTGGAGGTGAGTGTGATGGTGCCAGGGCCGTGCTTTCTCTGTTTCCTTCTGGAATCCAGGCAGCTTTCCTGAGGTTCCCGAGGAGAGACTGGGCAGGTTTAGTCCTGTTTCGCCAGGAACCCACGGGTGCTGGTTTTGGAGGCTCAGCTTTTGTGTGGGGGTGGTCGACTCTGGCCTTGTGCGCCCCTTTGCCCCCTCAGAGGCAGCTCTGAGAAGGAACACCCGGGCCTGCCTGGCAGGTAGGCGCCTGGGTCCCCCATCACCCCTGTGGAGGCGTGGGGTCTTCCCTGCCTCTGCTGTGTGCTGCCACGTGGGGCTGTTTGAATACAGGTGACAGCACTGAGCGAGAGGAGGTGCGCTCCTGGGCTGGGGCAGGGTGGGGTGGCCGTGCGGGTGGCTCAGGGACAGCATCCGGCCCCAGCGTGGGCCAGCATGGGGACACCCTGGCTGCGCACCCTGTCCTGGACCACGGTGGGCCAGCACAGCGGCCTTGGCCACGGCTCCGTCTGCGTCCACACCTCTGCCTGCTCCCTGCTCCGTCCGGCTGCGTTAGCGTCACGCTGTCCGGGATCTTCCTCCTCCGCTCCGGCTCTGAGCATGCACGTGAGCCTGAGGTGTTCTCAGAGAAGAGGCCCCAGCCAGGGAGCTGGGAGGGCTGGGCGCGTTCACACAGGTGTCTGCACTGCATCCACTTGGGCAGGGAGGGTTTGGGGGACACCTGGGGGGCGTTCTGCTCAGGGTCTGTGCTGTTGCCGTGGGCATCTGTCCTGGAGGCTCCGTTCCTCTGGCTGGTGGAGCTGGCAGCCGGGCACCTGCTGGCCTCGCTCTTGTGTGTCTCGTTCTCGGAGTATTCGGCTTCTCCTGGCCGCCCTTGCTGCTCTGGTGGTGACTGCTCCGCGGGGCTGGGTCCTGGTGTCCCTAGGAGGCCTCGGTGCTGTGTGGAGCCGGTCGCTGGCCTGCTCTGGTTTCGGGCGAGCACCCCGAGAGCTGGTTTTCTGGTCCATCCAAACCCCTCCTCAAACCTGCACCCAGAGTCTCAGGGAAGGCCTGGCCTCTGACCCCGGCCTGAGGCCATGCCCCCTCGAGCTCAGCTCTGGGTCATCAGCCCCCTCTGCCCTCCCAGACGCAGCCCTGCCCAGAGGCCCTGTCACCCAGCTCCTGCCTTTGGCCGGCCAGGTCCTCACGCGGTTGGGCGCCTGGAGGAGTGCTGCCAAGTCCCCGCGACCAGTGTGGGTCAGTGCCTGCTTCGCCCTGCAGAGGGCGCCGTGCAGCCCGGGCCTCAGGTGCTTGCTGACCGTGCTCTTTTATGCACGTGCTCAGCGTTAAAATGAGCTGCTGTGGGTTCTGGGCCCACTGGGGCCTCACTCCTCGGCTTTGAGCTTTTGTGTCCATGCCCTGTGTCTCCCTGCGTTTCTGGCATCTTTGACCTCTGACCCTGGAAAGGAGCGAGTCTCAGAGCCGCTGTTAGCATGGGAGCCATTCCAGGTCTGTTTGCTTTCTGATGGTGGAAAGTGAAAACGATTCAGCCTTTCCCAGGGCACACACTGACTCTAAAGCGAAATGTGAGTGTGTGTCCACCCCTCTGAGAGGGACGCCTCCTCCCGGGGGAGGTTTCAGCGGCCATGCGCCCTTTCTTCCCGCTCGGGATCAGCCCAGGGCCGGCCGCCGTGTGTCCGACACAGAGCGTGGCCGTGTGTCCGACACGGAGCGTGGCCGTGTGTCCCACACAGAGCGTGGCCGTGTGTCCGACACAGAGCGTGGCCGTGTGTCCGACACGGAGCGTGGCCGTGTGTCCCACACAGAGCGTGGCCGTGTGTCAGACACGGAGCGTGTGTCCCACACAGAGCGTGGCCGTGTGTCCCACACAGAGCGTGGCCGTGTGTCCGACACAGAGCGTGGCCGTGTGTCCCACACAGAGCGTGGCCGTGTGTCCCACACGGAGCGTGGCCGTGTGTCCCACACGGAGCGTGGCCGTGTGTCCCACACGGAGCGTGGCCGTGTGTCCGACACAGAGCGTGGCCGTGTGTCCGACACGGAGCGTGGCCGTGTGTCCCACACAGAGCGTGGCCGTGTGTCCCACACAGAGCGTGGCCGTGTGTCCCACACAGCGTGGCCGTGTGTCAGACACAGAGCGTGGCCGTGTGTCCGACACAGAGCGTGGCCGTGTGTCCCACACAGAGCGTGGCCCTGTGTCAGACACAGCGTGGCCGTGTGTCCCACACAGAGCGTGGCCGTGTGTCCGACACAGAGCGTGGCCGTGTGTCCGACACAGAGCGTGGCCGTGTGTCCGACACAGAGCGTGGCCGTGTGTCCGACACAGCGTGGCCGTGTGTCCGACACAGCGTGGCCGTGTGTCCCACACAGAGCGTGGCCGTGTGTCCCACACAGAGCGTGGCCGTGTGTCAGACACAGAGCGTGGCCGTGTGTCCCACACGGAGCGTGGCCGTGTGTCCCACACGGAGCGTGGCCGTGTGTCCCACACGGAGCGTGGCCGTGTGTCCCACACAGAGCGTGGCCGTGTGTCCCACACGGAGCGTGGCCGTGTGTCCGACACGGAGCGTGGCCGTGTGTCAGACACAGAGCGTGGCCGTGTGTCCCACACAGAGCGTGGCCGTGTGTCCGACACGGAGCGTGGCCGTGTGTCCCACACAGAGCGTGGCCGTGTGTCCGACACAGAGGGTGGCCTGGGCACTGCTCGTGGTTCCCAGGTTCACAAGCTTCAGGAGAAACTAGGAGTCGCTGCACCATAGACGGAGGGACTGTGTTTTGGCAAGCGTTCCCGGAGGACGGGCGGCGATGCTGAGCAGAGCAGGGGTCGGGCGGTCACATCAGCACCTCCTGCAGCCTCACAGGGCCCTCTGCGCCCCTTTGTGGCTGTGGGGGCTGTCGCCTTCCTCCTCGTTTCTGAAGGTGCTGTCCTGGCTGCGCTGTGACGGTCTGTTCAGTTCACTTCGCAGTGCGCGCCTTCGGGAGCCCGAGCCGTGAGGGCGGCAGTCAGGTCTTCGCGTTCGAGGCTGCGCGGTGGGGAGGATGGCGCGGCCGGGAGGTCTTTCAGCTTCAAGAGCGAAGCGGCCAGGCGCCTGTCCTCCCTGTGTGGCCGCAGAGCCGCCTCCCACTCACCTGGCCCCTTCCCCAGGCGGGCGCCAACATCGACACCTGCTCAGAGGACCAGCGGACCCCGCTGATGGAGGCGGCCGAGAACAACCACCTGGACGCAGTGAAATACCTCATCAAGGCCGGGGCCCTCGTGGACCCCAAGGTGCATGCGCCGCTCGGAGCCCCGTCCCTGTCCCGTTCGTGTGTCTCGGGGTCCTGGTTTGGGGGGATCTGGTCCCTGCGCCTGGCAGCAGATAGCGCTGGTCAGGGCCGCCTGCAGGGCGGGCAGCTCCTTCCACCTGCTGCCGTAAGGGGGAGAGACAGAGGAACCCAATCTGAAAGGAAGGAGCAAAGCGACGCTCCCCAAGACCTGACCTTCCATGCAGGAAACCCCGAGCGCCCTGAGCGAGCGGCCAGGGTCACGGATGTGCGCAGGGGAGTCAGTGATACAGAGTCAGCTCCGAGCCCCGGCTGGTGGCTCCGGGTTAGAGCATCGGCCCTGGAACTGAAGGGTCTTGGGTTCGATTCCTGGTCAAGGGCATGTAACTGGGTTGCAGGTTCGATCCTTGACCCTGATCAGAACACGTGTGGGAGGCTTCCCATCGATGTGTCTCCCCTCCCCGCGGTGCCCTGCTCTCTACCAGTCAGCGGGAAACTGTCCTGGGGGAAGTGACAGAACAGGACGGTCTGTGCACACAGCAGTGTGTTTCCTCACACTTGCTGACGGACGTCCAGAAAGGAAGATCAGAAACCACTTCCCTGTGCAGCGGCGGCCAGGAGGAGCGGGGAGACCTGGAGCGTCAGGAGCGGGTCCGGCCCTGTGACCCTGAACAAGGCCAGCTCCTCCGCGACAGGTTTCCCATGTGCGCGGCCGGTGTCGGACTCTGCCTCTGTGTTGCAGGATGCAGAGGGCTCCACCTGTTTGCACCTGGCTGCCAAGAAAGGCCACTACGAGGTGGTGCAGTACCTGCTCTCCAACGGGCAGATGGACGTCAACTGCCAGGCAAGCCACACCCTCCCCTCCCGACACCCTCCCCGCTGCCCTGGCTCCCTGTGCTCAGTGCTCAGTGTTCGGCCTCCAGAGCCGAAGGGAGGGGCAGACACAGCCCCTGCAGTGGCCCGTCCAGCAGCCTGGTCCTGGGCGGGGCTGTTCACAGCATGGCTGCTCTTTGCTCCTGCAGCGTGGGCGTGGGCATGGGCGTGTACAGGGGCTTGTGGGTCAGTCCTGCCGCCAAGATGCCTGAGCAGCACTGCACGACGGGCGGCCTGTGGACTCTTTCTTTTGGGATTAGGACGACGGCGGCTGGACACCCATGATTTGGGCCACTGAGTACAAGCACGTGGACTTGGTGAAGCTGCTGCTGTCCAAGGGCTCGGACATCAACATCCGGGACAACGTGAGTGTCACCGCCGGGCGGGCGGGCGGCTGGGGGCCACCCTCGAGTCAGCCCGGTTCCGGTCAGTATGCTGTCAGCGATGGCTGGCAGCAGCTCCAGGGCGTGTCACTGATTGCCATCCGCCGGGGAGGGCCAGGAGCCCCGGGCGTCGCCTGCACCTGGGCCGGTAGAGGTGCCGCCTCGGAGGGATGGCGGGACGGGGGCGGGTAGGCCGTGCGCAGCGTGGCCGGCTGAAGGGTGATGTGGCGCTCAGTGTGTGGGCAGGTGTGTCTGCCAGAGCGTGGCCTCAGCCAGGCCTCCGCAGCGCCCTGTGTGGTGGAGGCGGTGACAGGAGGCGGCACTAAGGAGCTTCTGGGACGGCAGGGACTCAGAGCCCGTGGTGGTGGGGCGGCGGGAGGGCTGGGAGTGGCCCCGGCAGAGGCTGGGTTCCTAGGCTGACGCACCCTGCCAGGCTGTGTCGGCTTCACAGCGGCCTGCTATGCTCTGTGCTTCCGGAAAGCTCCCTGAGCGGAGTGCGCATGCGGAGAGCGGGATGGGGAGGGCTGTCCGCGGGCCTGGGTGTCGCGGAGAGCACTTGGCCCCCAGCTGGGCTTGGGGTGTGGACTGCGGCCCCGGTGGGACAGGACGGGCAGGGCAGGGAGCCCAATGGCGGCCCCCCTGCAGGCTGGGCTCCCACCTCTTGCAGTTCCCGAGGGGCCAGCGGAGCAGAGAGCGGTCTGGGCAGCAGGAGTCTGTGCCTGAGCGGCAGCCCCACTGAGCGAGCTAAGCTGCCTGCCGCCTCGGGTTCATGGAGGCTCAGGGCCGCCCTCCTGCAAGGCCCTTGGCCTGGGAATTTGGGGGTGGGGGTGGGGACAGTGCCAGGACAGCCAGGAGAGGGGTGCCCCATGGCACGGGGAATGCTGCCTCCCTGCTCGGTGCCCCCAAGTCAGACCCCTGTGTGTGCTTCCTCCCCCTTCCCTGGGCTGCTGTACTGCACGTCCTTCCCACCATGATCCTCAGGACCGTTGGGTCCTAAGAAGCTGCTGGGCCTGACCCGTGTGGCTCAGTGGATAGAGCGTCAATAACTAAATAGATAACTGTCTATTCCTCTCCCTTTCTGTAAAAAATCAATTAAAAAATATATACATTAAATATATTTTATTGATTTTTAACAGAGAGAAAGGGAGAGAGATAGAGAGCTAGAAACGTTGATGAGAGAGAAACATTGACCAGCTGCCTCTTGCACACCCCCTACCGGGGATGTGCCCACAACCAATGTACATGCCCTTGTCCAGAATCGGACCTGGAACCTTTCAGTCCGTAGACCAACACTCTACCACTGAGCCAAACCGGTTTCGGCAAATTTCCTTTATTTTCATTTAACAATAAATGTGTACCGTATTCTTCTTCATGGAAAAATAAGACATCCCCTGAAAATGAGACTAGCGCATCTTTGGGAGCAAAAATTAATACAAGACACTGTCTGATTTTCGGGGAAACGGTACTTCTCAGAGGCTCTGGGAAGCACCATTTTGCTAGGCAGCAGTGCCTGTCTTCCGCTCTCACACGAGCACCACATCCTGTGAGTGTGAGGCCGGTCCCACCGGGACGACTCGGACCAGGTCCCTGCAGGCGCTGTGCCGGGTCCGGGTCATTCTGATTTGAGGACCCACTCCCTCTCCGACCGCGCCCCCCTCCCGCAGGAGGAGAACATCTGCCTGCACTGGGCGGCCTTCTCGGGCTGCGTGGACATCGCTGAGATCCTGCTGGCCGCCAGATGCGACCTGCACGCCGTGAACATCCACGGCGACTCGCCGCTGCACATCGCCGCCCGGGAGGACCGCTACGCCTGCGTCGTGTGAGTGCCCCTGGGCTCCCGGGCCGGAGGCCGGCGCGGACAGCCTGCCTCGGGGTTGCTGAGAAAAAGCCCCGAGTGCTCGGTCGACCGAGGCCGAGGGGACAGCCTGTGGGGTCAGCGTCCCCTGGTGCCGGCCACCTGGAGCCCTTGGCTTCCTGAGGCCTGCGTCCCCCAGGGCCCACTCTGGGCGTGACCCCGCTCTCATCAGCAGGCCCGCCTGACCGGTGACCCCGGGTTACCTGCCTCCCGGGCGTGAGGGACGCCCTGCGGGCCCCGCCTCACGGGCCGCGGCTGCAGGTCTGCACGGTGGGCGTGCTGGTGGGAGGCCCTGGGAGCGGGCGCCCGGCGTCCTGTGCGGACCCAGGGCAGCCTGGGGCCCCCGCCAGGTACGCAGCGCGGGGCCTGCTTACGCCGTCGGTGAGGGTGCACTGAGCGGACGCCCTCCCAGCGCCTCCCGCCCCGCTCTGCCGGCGGGGAGTGTGGCCGAGGCGTGGGTGAGGCGAGGGCTGCTCTGGTGAGTCCCCAGTCCTCCCAGCGCCGGTCGGCCAGCTCGTAAATGTCACGGCCAACGGTGTGTTCTCAGTGTTTCTTCCGACTTACTACGTCTGTCCTCCTGTCTTAAACGGAGGTCGGAATGTCCTGCTGGCTTGGTTTTCCCTTTAGCCTCTTTCTCTCCCGGGACTCGGACGTGAACCTGAAGAACAAGGAGGGGGAGACGCCCCTGCAGTGCGCCAGCCTCCACTCCCAGGTGTGGGATGCCCTGCAGATGAGCAAGGCGCTGCGGGACTCGGCCCCCGACAGGCCCGTCCCCGTGGAGAAGACGGTGAGCAGGTAGGCTGTCCGAGCCCGGGGCGGCCCCGAGGGGTGGGCGCGGTGGCGGCGTCTGTCCTCGCACCATCACAGCAGAGTGGCCCCCCCCAGAGACATCGCCCGCGGCTACGAGCGCATCCCCATCCCCTGTGTGAACGCCGTGGACGGCGAGCCCAGCCCCAGCAACTACAAGTACGTCTCCCAGAGCTGCGTGACGTCCCCCATGAACATCGACCGCAACATCACCCACCTGCAGGTCAGCGCCCACGCCAGGCTTCCCAGGAGGACAGTCCCCCACAAAACGCACCCGTGTGCCACGCTGGCCCGCCCCCCAGAGTGCCCCCGTGGGCGGTGTTCCAGGCACCGCGGGACAAAAAGGGCCCGAGCAGCGAGCTGAGGTCCCGCCTCCGCGCTGTGCCCCAGCCGTGTCTTCCTGCAGGCGCAGCCAGGCGCGTGCCTCAGGCTGGGCTCCTGCTCCAGCTTGTCCTGTCCCTTGGGGCATCTTTAGGGCAGCTGTGGGGGCCCCCCCCCCCCGGCCCACCCCACGGAGCCTGTGCCCACACCTCTCCCAGCCTGTGGCATTTTGCCCCACCCTCCTTCCCAAGAGCCTGCACTCCCTGGGTCCTGCCCTCCCCGCCCCTCCCCTCCCCGCCCCTCCCTCCCTCCCCTTCGTTAGCGTGGCTTGCAGAAGCTCGTGGCAGACCAGAGCCGTCTGTGCGGTGGGGGCTGTGGGCGGGAGGGAGCCGAGCTGACATTGCCCCCCCTCCCTTCGCCCCCAGTACTGCGTCTGCATCGACGACTGCTCCTCCAGCAACTGCATGTGTGGCCAGCTCAGCATGCGCTGCTGGTACGGCAAGGTGAGCACTCCCTCCAGCCCTTCCCCCAGCTGGGGGGGGCGGGGTGGGGGACAGGGGGGAGGCTCCTGGGGACCAGCCAGTGTCCTTCAGCCGTGCGTGTGGCGCCTGGAAGTGGGGGCGGCCCGGTTCCCGGCCCTGCTCCCCCGGGCCAGTGCTGGGTGTGTAGGAGCATGTCCTGTCTGTGCTGGCTGGTCCTCACCGCGTGTCTGTCCCCAGGACGGCCGGCTGCTGCCTGAGTTCAACATGGCGGAGCCGCCCCTGCTGTTCGAGTGCAACCACGCCTGCGCCTGCTGGCGGAACTGCCGCAACCGCGTCGTGCAGAACGGCCTCCGGTGAGCGCGCTCCCACCCCGGAGCCTCCGCTGCTCCGGCCGGAGCTTCGGAGCGTCCTGTTTCGTGCGCGTTGTGCAGGGCGTGTTCAGGGCACGGGTGTGTCAGCCGTGTCCTCCGTCAGGTCCCGCCTTGGCGGGAGTGAACGTCTTGCTTCCTCTCGGCTCAGACGTGGCTCTCAGGCCGAGAGGACCAGACCTTCTTGGTCCAAAGAGCCCAAAGCTGCGAACAGCCTGGCCCGGAGCGGCCTCGCCTGCAGCTGCACGGTGCTGCCAGGAGTGTCTCCCGAGCACCGGACGCCCCGCTCGCTCAGGCTCACGGCCCCGAGTGGCCGCCCCGGCCCCGAGCCAGGCCGGGTTCCGGTCAGAACCCTCCTCCTGCGTGTGCTGAGGGTGACCGGCACTCCTCCGGGTCGGGAGCGGCCGTTCGGGCTGGCTGGGCGCCATGTCCCGCGTGTGGTTCCTCATTGTCGGCGACCCCAGGGCACAGTGACTGCCACGCTGCCTTTACCCCAGTGTGGCAGGGAGTCCTTCAGGTGAGGACACGTCTCCCGCCAGGGGCCATGGCTCTCGGACCCCACCCGAGCTGACCGGGTCACAGCCTGGGCGTGGTGACCAGGGGTCTGGCCCGGCTGTCCCCGTGGTGATGCCTGAGGTATGAGGACGGGTGCGGGCCACCGGAGTCGCTCCTCTGCCTCACGTTGGGAAGCGTTTCTGAAGGTGACGCCTGTCCTGTGCCCGGTGCCGGGGCCCCGGCCGTGGCCACGAGCACAGACCTGTTTTGCAGGGCGAGGCTGCAGCTGTACCGCACCCAGAACATGGGCTGGGGCGTGCGGACCCTGCAGGACATCCCCGTGGGCACCTTCGTCTGCGAGTGAGTGAGGGCACGTCTGGGCGTGCGGCGTGGGGTCAGGCGGGGTTGGGGTGCCCCAGGGAGAGCCAGCTCCGCCCCGCAGTGGCCGTGGCCGTGGCCACGGCGGTCACTGTGTCCGCTCGCAGGTACGTGGGCGAGCTCATCTCTGACTCCGAGGCCGACGTCCGGGAGGAAGACTCGTACCTCTTCGACCTTGACAACAAGGTACTGCGTCCTGAGGGTGCACCGAGCTCAGCGAACACAGTGTGGGCGTCTGCCCCCCACCCAGCGCTGGCCTCCTGCGCTCAGGGCTGAGGGCCGACCGGGGGAGGGGTGGGCAGTGAGCCCCACCCCTAGACCCCAGCCTGCATCCCTGGGGACAGCCTGCGCCTGTACGGCCTCCGGGAGGCGCCACGTGGACAGTGACCTGCAGAGGGGCCACGTGGACAGTGACCTGCAGAGGGGCCACGTGGACAGTAGGGGCCACGTGACCTGCAGAGGGGCCACGTGGACAGTAGGGGCCACGTGAATGGGTGCGAGTCCCGTTGCCTTCCTGGGACTTGGGAGGAGCCGGCCTGCCCGGCCTCCAGCCTGGTTCCAGGATCCAGGTGTTTCGAGGCCACCTCACCCCCATCTTGGTTCTCATGCGGCCCCTCACTCCTCAGGTGCCTGTTGGAGGCTGGCAGTGGCTCAGAGCTCAGGCAGGGCTGGGGAAGGGGTCCTCTGCTCGGGCCCCATCAGTCAGGCAAAGCGGCAGAGCCGTCCCACCAGAGTGATTGCAGACCGACCGTGGCTGGGGCGGCAGGGACGCTCTGTCCCAGCTTCTCTGTGCCTCCGTGTGGCGGGCTCTGCGGCCCGGGACCCCGCTCTGGGGAGCCTGCGGCCCCCTGGGTGGTGCGGGCTCAGCTCCACTCTGGTTCTTCCTGGAGAAAGTCCTGGTCAAGGGCCGTGTGGTTAGACCAGGCCCTCACGTCTGCCTTCCTCACAGCCCTCTGTCCCTCCTCGTGGGAGGGAGGGGGGACGGGGTTCGGGGACCTGGGTGCTGCCTGCACCTGCGGGGCAGCGGAGGTCATGGGCTTCCTGTTTCTTGGTCGGTCGTCCCTGCCCCTCTGATGTCTGTGGCTGCAGCTTCCCTCCCTCTGTCCCTCTGCCCCGTCCCACCTGCCGGCTGCTCCGTGTCTCCACCCCCCCTCCCGGCGTCACCGAGTGTGAGCAGCTGTGGCTCGCTGTCTCCCTCCCTGACCCCTGACCCCTGACCCCAGCCCCCACACCCACGGGATCAGAGCTGGGGGATTCTCCAGTGGTGGGTGCTCTCTACCTGGTGCTGGGAGGGCCTGGGGGGGTCCCAGCGCCCTGTGCCCAGTCCGGGGCCCCTGCCCGGTGCCCACGCCTGCTCTCCGCAGGACGGGGAGCTGTACTGCATCGACGCGCGCTTCTACGGGAACGTGAGCCGCTTCATCAACCACCACTGCGAGCCCAACCTGGTGCCCGTGCGCGTGTTCATGTCGCACCAGGACCTGCGCTTCCCCCGCATCGCCTTCTTCAGCACCCGCCTCATCGTGGCCGGCGAGCAGCTGGGGTAGGCCGTCCTCCCCGCCTGCCCCGGGGGCCCGGGCAGCGCCGGCTCCTCCTCAGCTCGCCCTCTCTCCCCAGGTTTGACTACGGGCAGCGCTTCTGGGACATCAAGGGCAAGCTGTTCAGCTGCCGCTGCGGGTCCCCCAAGTGCCGGCACTCCAGCGCGGCCCTGGCCCAGCGGCAGGCCAGCGCCCGGGAGGCCTCGGAGGACGGCCTGCCCGACACCAGCTCCTGCAGCGCTGGCTCCCGATGAGACTCCACCGTCCCCCAGTGCCGGTCACCCAGCGGAGGGAGGGCCTGGCGCCGAGGCCTCGGGGCTGACGCTGTGCTGGGCGCTGGGCGCTGGGCCACCGGCAGAGCCCGGTCCTTTCCACGTTTCTCCTTTCCCTCCTCCCGAGGCCCTCCACCCGTGGACAGGGAGCAGTGTCCTGCTGCCAGACTCCTCCGCGGGCCCCGCCTCGTCACCCGCTGCTCCGTTAGCCCACCCGCAAGGTCCTGGCCGCACGGACAGGTCCTAGGTTCCCACCGTCTGCAAGGTCGGGAGCGCCGTGGACTTTGGAGAAAACGTTGGCTTCTTTAAGTAATGGCCGGTCGTGCGTGGTGGTCCCGGGTCCGAGCTCCACGCCGCCTCCAGGGCTCGGAGGTCCGGCCACCACAGACCGCTGCGCTGGGCCACACCGCCCTCCTGTGGGCTCTGATGACGGATAAACTGATTATTTTCTACCATCACTGAACATGAGGACAAACACAACAACAGACAACGGTGCTGATCCTGGTGTGGTTCCCACGCACCATGTGAAATATCAACTGTACAAAGAGAACAAGTGGTTTTAGAATAAACGGGAAACTTTTTTAAAGCTTTGTCTGTGGTGAATAAACTCGCCGCTGCCTTCTGTGTGGTGGCCCAGGTCACACCTTTTTGTTGGCAGATACTTTTTTAACTGTAACTAGTGCAGTAACCTTGGGGGTTTTGTGCGACTGAACATTCATACGCGGTCATGTTTATTTTTTCTGTTAAATGTTTTTGACAGTTTTAAGAGCAGTCTTTTGGCTCGAACCATTTCTTGTTCTGTTTTCAATGAAATCAATAAAAAAAGGAAAACTGAAAGGAAGATTTCATTACGAGACCCGTCTCGGCACCTGCGCTGCCGCGGGCCACGTGGTGCGTGTGCGTGTGTGCGTGTGCACGTGGGCGGGCGGCAGGCGCCGAGGGAAACGGGCGACACCGCACAGGAACACGGACGCGGTGGCAGTGCCAGGTGAGTCCCCGAATCGGAGTGCGGTCTGTGTGTGAACCTGACGCAGCCGAGGGAGCCTCAGGCGGGGCCATGCCTCTGCCCGCATCCCCGTGTCTGTGTCTCCCGCCGGGGCTGGCTCCCCTGCCAGCCTGTGGGCTCCGCAGGCAGTGGCTGCAGCCCGCGCGGGGCCTCCCCTCCCCTCGGTCACACATCACCCGGCCGGTGGCCCAGCCCAGAGTGTGAGAGCGGCCGAGACCGAGTGGCAGGTGTGACAGGTCCCACAGGCGATGCCCTCATTCAGGTGAGACTTTCGGGGTGTCAGCGTGGCCTGTTGGTGAAGGGACCCCCCAAATAGGGGCCACGTCAGATTCTGAGCATTTTAAACAAGTTGTGGGGTTTCCATGTGCCACCTGGCCCAGGGGCCGGCGGTGACCACCTGCGGCCGCCGTGGACGACCCGAACCGGACGTGGGCAGAGCCCTCGGGGCGGGGGGTGCTGCTCCGGCAGGACACTGCTCCAGGCACGCAGGGCAGGCGGCACCCTCTGCCAGCCTCCCACGGGCAGCCGCCAGACATGCCTGGGATGTGGGCAGGGCCCAGGTCGCCATTATTTCTGGCCAGTCGCACATTTCAGTCCGAGTGCACGCTGAGTCCGCTTCCCAGGACGGTGCCGTGCGTGCGGGAAGGGCCTGCGTGGTCAGCCTGTGTGCCGGAGACCGTGACGGCGTGATGGGCCGGGCAGGATGCAGGGACAAGGGACCAGGGCGGGTGTGGAGCCGAGCTGGCCGGTCAGGGCACAGCCCCACCAGCATGCAGGCTGAGCGAGGGGAGTGCACGGACCTCGGCCCCACCCCCACCCCCCTGGTTTCCTTTCTGGTGGCGCCATCAGATGCCGCTCCGAGATCGGCAGTGACTGAGCTGTCCGGGCACAGGGATGCCGAGGCACCTGGGAGGGACCTGTGGGCCTCAGTGCTGCTGCTGCTGCCCAAGCGAGGAGGAGTGGGAGCAGAGGAGAGAGGCGTGCTGATGGAGAGGGATTGGGGTGCCCTCCACCGGAATCAAACCTGGGACCCTTCAGTCCGCAGGCCGATGGTCTAATCACTGAGCCAAACCCGCCAGGGCTACTTACATTTTTATTCAAGACTTCTTTTTTACTGAGGCGAAGTTCACATAACAGTCCACCATGTTAACCATTTTAAGACGCACAGCAGAGGCTTTCATACACCCCAAAGTTCTCAGTCCTCACCATCGTGTAATTTCAAAAGCCCCATCACTCGGGCAGTGCAGACGGACCCAGTGAGCAAGCACCAGCCCTGTGAGGGTGCCCGTGGGCGTGGAGCGGGAGTCCCTGTGGGAGACTGCACGGAGGGGCCACACAGAGTGATGACCAGCACGGCCGTGGCTCCGAAGCTGAGTGTTGACCTGTGAACCAGGAGGTCAGGGTTCGATTCCCGCTCAGGGCACAGGCCTGGGTAGCAGGCTCGGTCCCAGTGTGGGGCGTGCAGGAGGCAGCCAAGCAGTGATTCTCTCTAATCACTGATGCTTCTGTCTCTCCCTCTCCCTCCCTCTCTGACATCAATGAAATATAATGTTAAAAAGGGTCATTAGAAGGACCCATGGCCAGCAGTCTGGTTCAGCGTAGGTAATTGGAGGAAATGAAACCGGGGTCTGGGAGAGAGGCCTGCGCCCGTGCTCACGGCGGCGTCCCCCAGTGGCTGGACCAGGAAACGGCCTAGCGCCCCCAGCACAGGAGTGGCGCTGGACGTGGCTCCGGGCGGGCGGAGTCCTGAGCACAGCGGGAGGCGGCGGGCGTCCTGCCGTCTCCACATGGACGGGCCTCGGACGTTATGCAGGGCAGGTGCCTGGACGGCAGGACCCGCTGACACTCCTCCATGGACTCGGAGAGGACAGAAGCAGAGCACAGTGTGGTTCCTGGGCTGGGGCCGGACCTGGGGCCGTGCTGGCAGGGCGACACACGTCCAGTACAGGATGGTTGTCCTGAGCTGGTGAGCATGCTCAGTCCCATGCCGTCAGCTTGGAAGGCGCTGAGAGCAGGTGCTCAGCCGTCTCCCTGCAGAGCACGAGGGGACCACGCGAGGGGAGGAGGTGTCTGTGCAATGTGTGCGTAACCACAACGCTGCTCGCCGGCCTGGCTCTGTGGTTGAGGGTCCACCTACGAAGCAGGAAGTCAGGGTTCGATTCCTGGTCTGGGCACATGAGCAGGTTGTGGGCTCACCCCAATATGGGGTGTGCAAGAGGCAGCTGATCAATGATTCTCCTCATTGATGTTTCTCTCTTCCCCTCTCCCTTCCTCTCTGGAGTCAGTAAAAATATAAATAAATAAATATATATATATATATATATGAAATATAATCGGTAAAAATAAAAAGTTACACAACCTTCCGTGTGCTCTCCATGGCCAAGCTTGACCAAGAGCTGCATCTTGGTGTGGATGCAGAGCCAAGGCGAAGGGGTGAGCGGGGCTTTGGTGGGCGGAACCAGGAAGTGGGCGGGGCCCGGCGGGCGGCGGGCGGGGCCTGGAGGGGTTGGGCCGGAGGGAAGGCGGGTGCGGATCCAGGCCAAGCTCCTGCACCAGCTCTGAGCACCCCTGGGGCCCTCAGCTGCCGGCCCGCACCCCCACTGTGTATGGAACCCCACCTTGTGAGCCTGCGATGCCGCGGCCACAGGTCCCTCCTCTTCCCGCCCGTGCAGAGCACCGCCCACGCTGCGGAGGACGGAGCCGGAGCGGCAGTTTCCTCTCTGTCCCGGCACCGCCGCCTCCGGAGCGGCTTGGGCGGCCCCGCAGCAGGCGCTGGGCTGCTGTCCCTGCCCCACACCCCTCTGGGTTCTGTTCCCAGACACGCCTGTTGGTGGCCTCCCACAGCCTGCACCCCCACTTCACACCCAAGTGAACCCTGATTTTTGGGGGGCCTGGTCCTCTCTGCCATACTCATTCCCACCTTCTTGGGGCTCAGGGATGCCCAAAGGGGTTTAGGGAACAATTTGCTGGGAGCCTCTTACCAAAGGACATCAGGCATTTTATTTTTAAAAAATACTTTTATTGATTTCAGAGAGGAAGGTAGAGGGAGGGAGAATCACCAATCGGCTCCCTCAGGCACGCCCCTCACTGGGGATTGAGCCCCCAACCCGGGCATGTGCCCTGATCGGAATCGAACCTGGGACCCTCCAGTCCTCAGGCTGAAGCTCCATCCACTGAGCCAAACCAGCTAGGGTTAGACATTTATTCTAAAAGATGGCTGTCCTTTTCCTGCCTGCCTCTGCCTTCCTGTGTGAAGAGGGGCCGTGGCAGCCACGTCTGGCCATGAGGCAGCACTGGGGGGCGGCCTGGCAGAGAGGAGCGATGGGGCGTCTGCACCCCTAAAATGGAATGCTTCATCACTTTTTACTTATTTTTCTTTTTGTAAAAAATATATTTTACTGATTTTTTTACAGAGAGGAAGGGAGAGGGATAGAGAGTTAGAAACATTGTCCTGAGCTGGTGAGCTCAGGATGAGAGAGAAACATCAGTTGCCTCCGGCACACTCCCTACTGGGGATGTGCCCACAACCAGGGTACATGCCCTTGACCAGAATCCAACCCGGGACCTTTCAGTCCTCAGGCTGACACTCTATCCACTGAGCCAAACTGGTTTCAGCTATTTTTCTTTTTGAAATATATTTTTTATTGATTTCAGGGAGGAATAGAGAGGGAGAGAGAGATAGAAACATCAATGAGAAGAGAAAATCATTGATTGGCTGCCTCCTGTACACCCCACACTGGGATTGAATCATGACCTCCTGGTTCATAGGTCGACGCTCAACCACTGAGCCATGCCACCTGAGCCATCACTTTTTAAAAATATATATTTTTTTCATTGGTTTGAAGAGGGAGAGGAGAGAAACATCAGTGACGAGAGGGAATCATTGGTCAGCTGGCTGCCTCCTGCATCCTGCGTGCGTGCCCCCCCCCCCCTCCCGTGGGATCAAGTCCGCAATCCAGGCATGTGTCCTTGACTGGAATCGAACCTGGGACCCTTCGGACCGCAGGCCGATGCTCTAGCCCCTGAGCCACACTGGTTTTGGCTGGGCCATTGCTCTTTATCGAGGTGAGGAGTTGGGTAGGCACGGAGCTGGAAGCGGGCTGCTGACGTCCGAATGCACCACAGTGACAGAGCAGCCAGGGGGGCCTTTGGGATGGGAGTCAGGTGACCGCTCTGCTGGGGCCCCTGCCACCTCGTCGTACTCAGAGCAGCAGGCCGAGCCCACAGCCTGGCCTCAGGGCCCAGGTCACCCGGGGCCTCTGCACACGCCGATCTCACTTCTCTCCACACACACACACACACACCCACACACACACCCCGGGGGGCGGGGGCGTCACTTCCTGTGTCCGCTGTGCCTCCGGGCGGCTGGTGTGGACTTCGCTCTCCACTGGCTGCGAAGGGGACGGCGTCTGACCGCCCCCCCACCCGGTCCCCGAGCAGGAGCCACCAGGACTGAGCACGCTGCTCGGCCGGCACGTGTCCGGTGCCCGTGGGGGCGTGAGCCTGCGTGGACACAGAGCACACACGGCCTCCCCTCCCGTGGTCACTGAATGGCCGGGCTCCGCGCGGACCCAGGAACCAGGTCCCCAGCAGGGCACCTGCCGGCTGTGGGCTCCATTCCCAGGAGGGGCGTGCCAGAGGCACCATCAGTGATGTCTCTGTGTCTGTTTCCCTCTCTCTGTGCCCCCCAACACACACACACACACACACACACACACACACACACACGTATTTGAAAAGACTATGACTGAGCGGATGGCGGAAGGACAGGAAGTGTGGAGATCTGGAAGCTCACGCGGGTGGTGGATGGGAAGGTCTGGACGGACACAGGGAGGCCCAGGCGGGGGCTGTGCATCCGGACCCCCCACCCCCAGACCGGGGCGTGGAAGGCGGCGTGTGGATGTCGAAGGTGCCGAAAGGACGGCGAGGCGGGGCCGGGCCCCGCTTCCCTGGAGGAGGAAGCACCGGGGCAGCCAGGAGCCTTCGGGCGGAGCGTTGAGCGACTGGCGATGCCTCCGGGAGGGGCAGAGGGTCTTCTCGGCGCCCGGCTCGGCCGTCGAGGGCTCGGGCCCCGCCCAGCACCGGCCAGCGCCCCGCCCGGCGCGCCGGACGCACGGAGGGAGCGCACCCGCCGGCCGGGCTCGGGCGCAGCCGGGGCGGACCGGGGCCGCGGCGCCTCCCGGGGGCCGGCGGCGGGACCCGCGGGGGGACCGGGCGGCGGGGACCGGGCGGCGGGACCCCGCGGGGGCGGCCGCCGGGGCGGGGCGGGCGGCGCGGGGCGGGCGGCGCGGCCGGATTGGCCGGGCGCCGCCACGTGACCGGCCCCTTATAGGGCGTGGCGCGGCGGCCGAGGCGGGTGCGGCGCCTGCCGGGCCGGGCGAGGTCCGTGCGGTCCGGCTCCTGACCGCTCGGCTGCGAGCGCCGGGCGCGCCCGCCGTTTCCCTGCCGGGTCCCGGCGGGGGATGCGCGCGGCGCCCGGGAGCCATGGTCCGCTTCGGGGACGAGCTGGGCGGCCGCTATGGGGGCGCCGGCGGCGGGGAGCGGGCCCGGGGCGGCGGGGCCGGCGGCGCGGGCGGCCCGGGCCCCGGGGGGCTGCCGCCGGGCCAGCGGGTCCTCTACAAGCAGTCGATCGCGCAGCGCGCGCGCACCATGGCGATGTACAACCCCATCCCGGTCAAGCAGAACTGCTTCACCGTCAACCGCTCGCTCTTCATCTTCAGCGAGGACAACGTCGTCCGCAAATACGCCAAGCGCATCACCGAGTGGCCATATCCTCCGGCCGGGCCGGGCGGGCGGGGGCTGCCCCGGGCAGCGGGCACAGGGCCGGCGCCGGGTCCGGCGTCCGCGCCCCGCCGGGTGCGGGAGGGGCGGCTGGGCCGGGGCCGGGGCCGGGGCCGGGGCGGTGGGTCGTGCGGCGCCCAGTGGCCATCTTCCGGGCCAGGCGGAGGGCGCGATCCGGGAGCGGCGCCGGAGGACTGGGCTGGAGGGGGCGGGGCGGGGCTGCGGGCCTCCGCCGCCGCGGGTGCGTGTGCGCGCGCGCGTGGTCGCGGCGGGAGCGGGTGGACGCTGGGCGGAGCCCCCTGCCCCGGCCACGTCCCTTCGCTCCCGGCCGGATGCCGAGCGCACGGCCGCCTGGAGGGCGCCGAGGGGGAGCCGGTCTGGGGTGCGAGCCCCGGGGCCGCGGGCCGCTCCCGGCAGCAGGTGCGGCGTGTGTGCGGCCTCTCGGGACACGCATGTTCACGTGCCCGTGTCGGTACATGTGGCTACGTGTGCCGCTGGCAGGAGTGCGCCTGCGCGGGGTCCCTCTCCAGCCCGAGCGGGGGGCGCACCGCCTCCTCCCCCGGGCCTCCCGCCTCCGGGCCGAGCCGGACGGCGCTGTCCGCGGTGCTGGCGGCGCTGTCCGCGGTGCTGGCGGCCGTGACCGCAAAGGCCTGGCCTCGCGGCAGCCCCCAAAGATAAGGGCGGAGGGAGAGGGGGCCCTGGAGGGAGTGGGGGCCCTGGAGGGGTCACTCTCAGGCCCCCTGAGGCCTCCTGGCCGCCTCTCCTCCCCCTGGCGCTCCGGCCGCTCCTTAACCCACGCACTCCCTTCGAGTACATGATCCTGGCCACCATCATCGCCAACTGCATCGTGCTGGCCCTGGAGCAGCACCTCCCTGACGGCGACAAAACGCCCATGTCCGAGCGGCTGGTGAGTGCGGGGCCGTGCCCCTCCCTCCGGGCGGCAACCGGAACGGGCGGCAGCCCCTCCCCAGGGCAGGGATGATGGGGCAGCCAGGCAGCCTGATGGCGAGGCGGGTGGGGGCTCCGTCCAGCGCCCCAGCCACCCCTGCACCCCAGTCCCAGGCCTTAGGCTTCTCGGTCTGAGGACGGAGCGCTGGGCCTGGGCGTGTGGTGCTGATGGACGGCTCAGGGTCAGGAACGCAGGCTCTAGGGAGGGCGGCTGGCGGCTGGGCCGTGGTGGCCTCTGCCCTGGGTGCCCCCTGGGTCTGCCAGTCTCCGCCTCGGGATTGTCTCCCGGCTCGGCATCCCCTGGCAGCCTTCCCTCCCCGCTTTCTTCCTGAGCACCCAGCTGTCCCCACTGTCTGCCACCCCTCACAGACCCTGTGCCACCCCCCTGAGGCCCGGAGCCTGAGATAGGCTGGGTGCCAGGGCGGGGTCTCTGGAGGGGGGGGCAGCGGGAAGGGTGAGGTTTGGGGAGGTGAGGCCAGGTCTCCCGGCCCCAGCCCTCCCTGCTGCTGGGCCCTTGGCCTGGGCTTGCCGTGGGCCCGGAGGCTCGGAGGCCGGAGGCTGAGCCGGAGCAGAGAAGGCAGAGCCGGGAGGATGCAGGCAGCGGCTGGAGCTCTGCCGCCTCGGGCACGTGACTGCCGGGCCTCTCCCCTCACTTCCTGGAGATGAGCAGCGAGGACGCGCATGGCCGCGGGGTGCCTGGCGTGGGCCCTGGGCTTCCCTCCTCCCCCACCCTGGGCCCAGTGGGGGGCGGGGGGCCAGTGAGCCTGCCCCGGGCTCGCCGTCGGCAGGGCACTGGGAGAAGGCAGGAGGTGGGCAGCCGGTGGTGGGGGGGAACCAGGGATGGAGGTTTCGGGGGGCATGCGTTTCTTTAGCATGGGGAAGGCGGGGACACGGAGTGGGATGTGTCCCGTGTGGCTCTTGCTCCGGTGTGGCTGGGCTGGGCAGGGCCACTTGCCTTCTGGGCCCAGCTCCACTGGCATTGTGGACCCTGTGCCAGCATCCACTCTGGAGGCAGATGAGGGCGAAAGGCAGAGGGAGCTGGGGACTCGGGCAGGGAGCCTTAGGCCAGCCCCCGGGACCCTGTCCTGTCCCCACGGGAGGGTGTCTGGGGTGGGGCTGGAGAGAAGCGGGTGGGGGCTCAGCCGGTGCCCGCTGGGGGGCCAGGCTTGGGTGGGCCAGCTCCTGCCTCCTGGTCTGTGGGGAAGGGGCGGGCATACTTCTGCCGAGCTGCTGGGAAAAGGAGCAGAATGGGGTCCCTCTGGGGTGACCCGTCTCTTGGGAGGGACGGAAGGCCAGGCTCTGAGGCTGGTGCCACCGCCTGGGGAGCAGGGGGAGGGGGGAGGCGGGCAACCTGGTCGGGGACGGGGCCGCCACGGCCCTCTGCCTTGGGGCCTCTGCTTGCCTCCCTCCACCTTCCAGCGCCTTCAGCTGGAGCCCTGGCTGGCGGGCCCCATGCCTCCCCCACGCCCTGGCTCAGCCCTGTGATCCGGGTGGAGGTGGGGGCAGGGCTGAGGCCAGGGTCAGCATGGCCCCGCCATCGGGCTCTGGGCTGCCCCCCTGTCCACTCAGAGGCCTTCTGTGTGGTGGGCCCTGTGCTCCCCTGGGGCGGAGGGGAGAGGGGCCATCTGGCCGGAAGCCCGGGGGGCCTGTCATGAGTCAGCGTCCGTGTCAGGGCTGCCGTCGCCGTGGGCAGGGGCGGCGGGCTGCGGGTCCGTGGGAGGGCCTCGGGCCAGGCTCCGGGGAGAGGAAGGCGCCGGCCACTGTCCTGAGCGGGAGCTGCAAACCCGGGCCACAGCCCTGCCCCCTGCACCCTGGGCCGCAGGTCCCCAGGCTTGTGACGCCGCCCCAGCCGGCTGGGCAGGGCGCTCTGCAGGCTCCAGCCCTTCCTCACCACCCTCCTCGGGCACCGGGCAGGGGCCTGGCATGTGGGTGCCTGTGGGCTGCACTGCGCCAGCCATTCCCTGCAATGACCCTCCTATGGGTCTGCCCCCCAGCCCCCATGGCCTAGCCCCCGCTCAGCGGCACTGAGGCCCTCCCTGCTGGCCGTCTCCATGGGACGTGTGCTCAGCCGAGCAGGATGGGCCTCGCTGAGGGACGAGGTGCAGGGGGTGGAGGGGGCGCTTGCATCGTTGGCTCCTCTCTGGCACCCGCCCACCCGCACTGCTCCCCTCGCCACAGCGCCCTGCCTGTGCCCGGAGGGCGGGACGCCCCCCAGGCACCCTGAGGCGGCCACATGTGCTCCGGGATCTGCAGGTTTCGAGGAGGGAGCATCTGGGACTGTGCGTCAGTTCATGAGCCAGTGGGTCCCGGGCTGCGCTCCGGCCTTGGGGCACCGGGCAGAGGGCAGAGGGCAGAGCCTGGGGCCTTGGCTGGTCTTCGCCAGGGCCCGTGGCCTCTGTGCCTCCGTGTCCTTCGGGATGGGGGGCGGGCCTGGGATGGGACGTTGACAGGTCACTGCAGGGGACACTCACCGTGGCCATCACACCCGGCTGCCCGCCTGGAGGGCGGGGCGGGGCCCTCGGGGGCGGGGCCCTCGGGGGGCGGCCTGGGCCGCGGGCCGAGGTGAGCCGTGCGTGTTCTCCGCAGGACGACACGGAGCCCTACTTCATCGGCATCTTCTGCTTCGAGGCGGGCATCAAGGTGGTGGCCCTGGGCTTCGTGCTGCACAAGGGCTCCTACCTGCGCAACGGCTGGAACGTCATGGACTTCGTGGTGGTCCTCACGGGGTAGGTGCCCGCCGTGCCCGCGGGGCCGCCGGGGAGAGCTCTGCCTGCCGACCGCGGGGCCCGGCGTGCCCAGGCCGCCCTCGGCGGGGCCTGCTGACCGGCTGCGGGGCCTGCTGACCGGCTGCGGGGCGGGGGTCGGTCACCGAGGGGGAGGGCTGTCCTGGGGTCTGAGCTTTGACCTGGAAGGTGTCAGTACCCCGCCTGCCCCACGTTTCTCCCAGATGGACCCTGACAGGTCCCTCAGCAGCCCAGGGCCCGGGAAGAGGACTTGGGGGTGGGCCGGGCAGGAGTGAGGCCGAGCACCTTGCTCTTCCTCATTGAGTCCCTGCCCTTCGGGCCTCGGTTTCCCCATCTGCCTGGTGGGTGCCTAGGGCCCTGCCTGTGACTGGGGAGGGAGGAGGAACCTTCTGCTGGGACAAGGGCGCTGTCCACGGTGCTGCCGGCCCCGCCCTGTGCCGCCCCGCCTGAGGCCCGGCCGGTGGGGAGGGCTGGAGGCAGCGCTGGGGAACCGGAGCCGCACTGTTTACTCCCCTCTCCCTCCCTCCCTCCCTCCCTCCGGACCGGAGTCCCTGAGGAGGGCCCCTTGTCTCTCAGGGTGTCCCCAGAGCCTGGCCATGGGCGGCTCCCAGGAGGCACAGGGGTGTCTGCACATTAGAGGGAAGCGGGGCGCGGGCGTGGGGCCTGAGAGCGGCTGAGCTGTGGCGTGGGGGGCGGGGGGAGGTGGGGAGGCCGGAGGTGGAGGGCCTCAGGCCAGGGAGCCGGAGCCTCCGGCCGGGAGAGGGGGCGCCGGCCGTGCCTGATGCCCACATCCTGGTCACAGAGAGCGTCGAGGGGCTCACCTTCCTGGGAGCCCCAGCCAGCGGGTCCCTGGTCCCCAACTCCACCTTGGAGACCCTCCCTCCGTCCTCTTTTCTTGGTTCCTCCGCCTCTTTCCTCCCTCTGTCCTTTCTCCATGTGCTGCCCTCCTCCTCCAGGTCTCCCTCCCTCCCCCCCTTCTCCCCCTTCTCTCCCCCTCCCCCACCTCCTCCAGGTCTCCCTCCCTCCCTCCCTTCACCCCTTCTCTCCCCTCCCCACCTCCTCCAGGTCTGTCTCCCTCCCTCCTCCCCCCCTTCTCGTCTCCCCCGCCCCACCTCCCCCAGGTTCTGTCTCCCTCCCCCCCCTCCCTCCCTCCTCCCCCCCTTCTCCCCCTCCTCTCCCCTCCCCCACCTCCTCCAGGTCTCCCTCCCTCCCCCCTCCCTCCCCCCTTCTCTCCGCCCACCACCTCCTCCAGGTCTGTCTCCCTCCCTCCCTCCATCCCCCCCTTCTCCCCCTTCTCTCCCCCTCCCCCACCTCCTCCAGGTCCTCCCTTCCCTCCCCCCTTCAACCCCCCTTCTCTCCCCCTCCCCCACCTCCTCCAGTCTCCCTCCCCTCCCTCCCTCCCTCCCCCCCTTCTCCCCCTTCTCTCCCCCTCCCCCACCGCCTCCAGTCTCCTCCTCCCTCCCTCCCTCCTCCCTCCCCCCTTCTCTCCCCCCCACCTCCTCCAGGTCTCCCTTCTCCCCCCCCTCGCACCCTTCCTCCCCCCCCACCTCCTCCAGGTCTCCCCCTCGTGTCTCTCTCTCTCTCTCTCTCTGCCCATTTCACTTTCTTATTTTCCTCCTGGTCTTACGTTCCCTTTCTCTTCTCTGGCCTCGTGGCTCCCGGGCTCCCGTCTGAGTCCCTGAGTCCCCGCACTCTGTGTCCTGGGGGGGTGCTGCTGGGCGGTCCCCAGGCTCCTGGCTCTGCACCTCATCCCCAGGGGGTGCTGGGCTGGGAGGGGAACCCCCAGGCAGGGAGGGTGACCTGTGTCCTGTGGGGTCACACGTGGCCAGGGTCCGAGGGAGCCGCTCCCTCCTGCATGCAGCACACAGGATTCGCGCATACATGTGTGTACATGTGTATGTGGGGTGGAGGGAGTGTTTTTCGGGGTGAGCGCTGGCCGGTGGGGAGTCAGGGAAGAGCCCTAACTCTCAGCCTCCTGAGCCGAGGTCCCAGAGGGCAGCCGTGGGGTTACTCTTGCTGGCTCTTGTTTTTAATTAGGGTTCACTCACTCAATGCTCAGGGGGTGGAGATTGGTGGGCAGGTCTCAGGGAGGGGAGGCCCGTTGCCTGGAAGCCCAGCTCCTCCCCAGCGGCCTGCGGGGCCTCCTGCTCTGAGCTGCGGCAGGTCCTGGGGGTGCCCGCTGGCCCCGCCCTCCCCCGGGAGCCCTCAGCCTCCCTGCTCACCGGGGACCAGGCCTGGGGGCGCCGGGGCCTGGGCTGGCGCAGCCTCTGGCCCTGGCTGTGGGGGAGGGAGCCGAGGGGCCGTCCTGCTGTCTGCTCCCCTGTCCCTGCCGTCATTTGTTCGTTCGGGATTGGCTGAGCCCCTGCAGTGTGATGGGTGGGGTCGAGGGGACACGGGGCTTCTGACCGCACCGCACCGTGCCTCCCGCCGCCCGCCCCGCTCTCCCCAAGGCTCCGTCACACCGAAGGGCGTGTGGCGGGCTGGAGGGGCCCGGCGGGGGCGGAGTCCGGGAGCCCTCATTGCCCCTGACTTCGGAAGGACACGGAGGATGGAGCTGGAGAGGTCACAGTGAATCGATGGTGGTCAGAGACGGAGACCAGCAGGCGCCAGGGATGGGGTGTGCGGGGGTGCTGCGGGCGGAGCCGGGACCAGAGCCTGCGGGCTGGTGGCAGCGAGGGGGGTGTAGCAGTGGGGGGAGGGGGCCCGGGAGTGCAGACCGGGAGTTTACTGAAGGGCAGGTACCGGGAGAGGAGCGGGGAGAGGAGGAGGGAGAGGAGGGGAGAGGAGTGGATGGCGGGTGGGGAGGGAGCACGTGGTGCACTGAGGCCGCTCTGTGCTTGCAGCCACGCAGGGTGCAGACGGGGCCTGGGTGCTGGGCCGGGGGAGGCAGGGGGAGGCCTGGAGGGTTCAGTCGGTGGGCTCTCCCCAAGGCGAAGCCATTGGGTGACAGACAGGAAGCCCGGCTGGACGGGGGGTCCTGGGACCCAGCCCGGTGGCCTGGTGTCTGTGACAGCAGGTGCGGGAAGGGGCGCAGTGTGAGGGGGTGTGGGGGAGCTGGGCTGGCAGCTGAGAACGGAGGATGGCGCGCCCCTCCCAGCCGCCCACTTCTGGGCCTGTCCCCTCGGCCCCACCCGCTGTCCAGGTCCCCGGAGCCCCCGCCTGCCCGCCCCCCCTCGGGCACAGAGAGCATCGAGGGGCTCACCTTCCTGGGACGAGGGCGCTGTCCAGGGCAGGGGCCCAGGGCCTGGGGCGCCTTTCTGCCGGCTGAGCGCCCGCCCCGCCCCCTCCTGGCCTCGCCAAGGCTCGTTCCGGGCGTGGACGGCGGAGTGTGTCCCGCGCAGGCAGGTGGCTCCCACGGGGACGTTCCAGCCGCAGCGGCTCGTTTTACTCCAAATTAAACCGGCTTCTCTCCCGGACCTGTAATTAGAGCTGCCGGGCCTCCTGGGGGGCCTCCTGGGGTGGCTGCGGGCTCCCTGGGAGGGCGGCTCCAGGCCCCGCCGCGCTGGGGGATGGGGGCCCCTGTGCCGGCTCCCGCCCTGGGAGCACCTGCCCCCTGCTGAGCTGCTGCCTCAGAGCCCAGGGCTCCGGGAACGGGGCCTGGGGGCCACGCGGGGAGGGGAGGGGCGCCGAGGCCCGGGGGACATGAGTCATTCGCAGGATCTGCTGCGTGTCCCTGCGGCAGGGGGTTCCGGGCGCCGTGGCTGCATGCTCTGTCCTCCGCGCACTGTCTGCCTGGGGCTTGCTGGGGCCGTTGGAGCTGACCGCGGAGGTCTCCAGCGCCCAGGGCCAGGGGCTGGGGTCGTCTCCAGGGATCCCATGGGGTCGTCTCCAGGGATCCCATGGGGCCTGGCATCTGAGGGTGGGGTGGGGTGGGGTGGGGGGCTCAGCAGGCCACCGTGGCCGGCCTCATTCTGCGTGAGCCTGTCTGAGTTGAGCCCAGACCCGTTCCTTCGGGAGGGGGCAGGGAGGGGCGGTGGCTGGGACCGGTGCCGCTCCCGGGCGGGGTCTGCAGTGGCTGGTGCCCCGGCCACTCCTGGCCCCGGGCCTGGGGCTGGCGGGCGGAAGGGGCGTGGCCAGATGGCTCTAGGTGAGTTGGTTTTTAGAAAGAGAGAGGAACATGGCGACGTGCTTGCCATCGATCGGCTGCCTCCTGCGCGCCCCACGCCGGGGATCAAGCCCACAAACAGGCATGAGCCCTGGATCGCCTGGCGGCCTTTCCAAGCCACGCTGCCAGGCCGGCTGCCGGTCCTTAGGAGGCGTCTGGCGTGAACGTGCGTGTGCGGGGACACGGGCTGCACACGGGCCCGCGTCAGTCCTGGCGGCCGAGGTCCCAGGCCCAGGTGCCACCCGCCTGCCCGCCGTGTGGCACAGGCCTCCTCACTGCGGTGCCTCCTGCCCCGTGGGTGCCAGCCCTGCGGGTGGGTTCCCCTGAGGCCGCCTTTGGGCGCTGCCTCCAGGCGGAGGCACGGGGGGCAGGGGGGCTCCGGCTGTGGGCTCCTGTCTGGCCGCCATCTCTGTGCCGCCCTGCTCCACCTCTGCGGGGAGACCGGTTGGGACGGCGGAGCCCACGGTGGCCCCAGGGCACAGGTGGTGATGTGACTCGGTCCAGGTCCCACCCGTCTGCGTGGCGCCGTGCTGTGGGCCTGGGGAGCGGCTCTCCCTCCTCTCGCCCTCTCTGACCTGGGCCCTCGGACCCTGAATCTGTAGGTTTGAGCCAAACCTGGGATCTTCAGCCCGGGCAGAGCTGAGTGCTGACCGGCCACGCCCTCTGCCGCAGCCTCGTCTGCCGGGCCTGTGCCCTTCCTTCGGCCTCGGTGTCCCGGTCCCGGTCACACGCGGTCGGCGGTGCCTCCTGTGCTCTGCTGGCCGCGGCTTCGGCAGCGGCGCCGGTGACCGCCCGCCTGTGGTCTGTCTCTCCCTGTGGCCTCTGGTCCTCCTGGCTCTGACGGACGAGTTTTGGTGGAACCTGGACCTTTCCCGTTACGTTCTGGGATTCGAATGCTACGCAGACGGCTGTCAGTTGGGTCTCTGGTCCTGACACTTAAAGGGACCAGGGCTGCCTTGTAACTAGTTGTGTGTGTGTTGGTGAGGGGGGGTGGAGGGGAGTCACCCCACTCCAAAGACTGAAAACGGGGGTTCAGAAAGCGGGCGGGGCGTTGAGTGGATGGCGCTGGGTCCACGCCTGACCGCACGCTGCCCTGGCCCGAGGGTCCTACGGAGGAGTCAGCAGCCCCGAAATAGGGGGGATGCTGGTGGCCCCCCGGGAGGCGGCTCCTCCGTGGCCTCGGTCAGAGCCGGGCTGCCTGACCAGTCGCCGCCCCTCGAGCTGGACAGAGCACTGAGCCAAGGACTCCGTGCCCCTCGGAGGCAGGTGGTGAGGGTCAGGGGTCAACATGGCAGCTGTCTGCTGCTGGCCTTTGGGGCCTGCGGCCCTTGTTGGAGGAGGGGCTGGGGGGGGCCCCACGGCCCCCCTTTCCCGAGTGGTGGGTGGCGGCCAGCGGCTGTGACACTTCCTCTGGGTGCGTCACTGGGGCACCCCCTCCAGGTTGGGAGCCTGGGCACTGGGAGTGCCCCCGCACCCCCGTTTCTCCCCGTGAGACGGGGCACGCTGACCCCGGAGGCCTGAAGGCTGGGGCCGCGGGGTCGTTTGAGTGAGACGCAGGCCTTTGCTCAGCTCAGCCCTGGGGCGGGGGCGGGAGGCTGAGACCCACAGGCTGTCTCCATGGCAACCGCCAGCAGCCTCCTGGGCCCAGCGGCACCTGGAAAGTCGGTGACAAAGCAGTTCCTGGAGGTGGAGGAGGCTCTGGGGCTCCGGCTCCTGCAGGGGTGGGGTGGGGTGGGCCTGGCTGGCTCCGCACCCTGTTTCCTCCCGACCTGCCGGCGTGAGGGGCGGGTGTGGAGGCGAGGCCGCCTCCCTCCAGTGGAGGACGGGGTGCCCGGCACTGAGCCCGAGGAGGGCTGCGCGTGGACGTGCCGCTGCCCGGAGCCCAGCAGCGGGAGGACAGGCCCCGGCCGAGCCCAGCGTTGGAGCCACGTCCTGCTCGGGCTCCTCAGAGGAGTCGGGTGCTGGTGTGTCTCCCCAGGGGCTGGGAGCCGCCTCTGGCCCGCCCGGACGGGCTCTGCACAGCGGGTGACAGCACTTGGGCGGGAAGGGCTCCCGGCAGACCCTCTGGGGGGCGCTGTCTACTGTGTGCGGGGCCGGGGCACCGTGAGGGCTGTCCGGGCGCTGGCGCTGCGGCCCCCCTGCCACCGCCTCCGCCGAGCGCCACGTCCTCAGGCGCCTCCGAGTGGACGTGAAGCGGGTCATGTCGGCCCTTCAGCGTCGCTTCACACGCAGTGTCGCTGTCCGTCACTGTCTGTCATGACGACGCAGCGCACGCTCCCTGCTGACCCCGGAGATGGCGCTGGTCCAGTCATCGCCGTGACAGCGGCTCCTCGATGGTGTGATGCTGACCGGGGGCGGGAGGGGGGGGGCGGAAGGGCTGCCGGAGGCCACCCTGAGCTCACGGATCAGGCGAGGCCGACGCTGCCCTGACTGCACGCTCCTGACCGAGGTCCTGGGACCTCGTCATCTTCAGGAATTGTGGTGTCTGTTCCTTTCCTCTTTCTTTCTTTTTTTTTCTTTTCTTTTTTTTTTTTTAAATTGATTTCAGAGAGAGAGAGAGGATGGGAGAGGGAGAGAGAAACACATCAGTGACGAGAGAGAACCACTGACTGGCTGCCTCCTGCACGCCCCACACTGGGAACCGAATCTGCAACTGGGCATGTGTCCTGACCGGGAATCGAACCCTGACCCGTGGTTCATAGGTCCACGCTCAGCCCCTGAGCCACGGCAGCCAGGCGTGTCGCCTGATTTTAAAGGGAATCCATCCTTTATGACTGGGGTGCTCCTTGGAGCCCTCAGAGTGTTTGGAGTGGGTTCTGTGCGTTGAAGAGATTATCAGAGACCGGACTTTATAAAAAACAGAAAAACCAGTATTCTATTTATGAAAGTTACAAATCCAAAAATACCATTCTTTAAAAGGTATTTGGGTTAAATCTGCAACAGTGTGGACGGAAATACGTCGGAAAGACAAATACAGCTATTGATGGCGAAAACACTCTGTAGATGGCAGATGGACACCCAAGGGGAGTACGTCAGCATCACGGTGACACATGACAAGCCACGCTCCGCCCGCCGTGAAGATGCACGTTTCTCCTCTCAGATCGGGAGCGACACAGGGGGTCCCTCTCACCGCGTCATCACCACGGCGCCGGCGCTCCAGCCCGAGGGCTCGGCAAGAGAGACGTGGACGCACCACCCTGGGCAGGAGGAGGCGACACCAGCCCTTCCTGCTGACGGCCAGACCCCGTGCACAGAAAGCCAGTCTCCCCAGACCCGAACCCGGTGCAGCCGAGTGGCAGGCTCCGAGCCCACCCGCGGACCATGACGTTCCAGAAAAACAAGCGAAGAAAACAAGTTGGTGTGCACACGGGACAGAAGGAAACGCCTCGGAGTAACCCGGAGGGACGGGAAGAGCCTGCACGCTGAGAACGGGCGTGGTTTCTGACATCGGAAAATGTGGCTCCTCCAGCCTCGTTCTTTCTCACCATGGTTTTGCCACTCGCCCGTGAGGTCCGCCATGAATTCTGGGGTGCGCTTTTCTATTTCCGCAAAGCGATGGCTGGGCTTTCAGTAGGGATCGCGTGGCCCCGACAGGGCGCTTCGGGTGGCATGGACTGCTAGTGCCAGGAAGTCTTTAACTGACCTTTCCGGTCCCGGCCGTCCATCACCGTGCTCTGGAGTCCTCGGGGTCCAGAGGGCTTTTGCCTCCTTGGCTAATTTTACTCCCAAGTATTTCACTCTCTGCAATGCTACCGCAAACGGGTTTTAAAAAATGTCCTCTTTTGAGTGTTCGTTGTTTTGTGTGCTAACGGCATATCCTGAAATTGTTGAATTCATTAGTTATGGTAATTTTTTGTGAGTTTTCTACAAATTTAGGATTTTCTACATGTAAGAAATGTTGAGATTTTTACTGGAATTGCATGGAACTTGTAGGAACTTGTAGGAATTTGGGGAAAAGGGACATCTAATGATATTATATTTGCTACTTGTAATGAACTTTGAACTTAACTCAAGTCTTTAATTCTGGAAATTCCTCCTTCTCTCTCCACATGTGGCTTCTTCACCATTCACTCTGTTCTTTCTCGGAACGCACCCTGGACGCGGGTCCGAGGAGGGTCCAGCCTCCACGTCGCTTAGCTTCTCTCTCTTTTTCTCTGCCGGCTGTGGTGATTCCTCCACACTATGTCCTAAACCGTTAATACCGCCAAACCAGTCTCCTGCCCGGAGTGTGATTCCTGATAGTTATTGCTATCATTTCAGTAACTTTATGGGATCTGGTTTGAAAGATTTTCTCGTTTCCCTTCTTTTCTGCTGGGACTTTGACCTTCTCTCTGACACCCGTCCTCCCCTCCCTGCAGTGCATTCAGGGGCACAGGACTGTAAGTGCATTTTATTTAAATATATTTTATTGATTTTTTAAAGAGAGGAAGAGAGATAGAAACATCGATGAGAGAGAAACATCGACCAGCTGCCTCCTGCACACCCCCTACCGGGGATGTGCCCGCAACCAAAGTACATGCCCTTGACCGGAATCGAACCTGGACCTTTCAGTCCGCAGACCGATGCTCTACCGCTGAGCCAAACTGGCTTCGGCTGTAGGTGCATTTTAAATGGTGACTCGGGTGTGGAATGCAGGAGAGGCCTTCGGGGGGAAGCCTCGGTTTTGGCTTAAGTAACAGTTGACTGGTTGCTGAGATGGGGGAAAGGGTCGCTGGGAAGGAGCACGCCTGGGAGTAAGAATAAAAGCTCTTCAGTCACAGCATGTAACAACCCTGAGCTTCACAAAAAGGCATTTTTACTTCCTGAAGTTTGGAACCGCCTCAGTGTGTCCGGTTTGATTCGCTTTTTAAAAACCCAAGTGCAGGTGTGTCACCTGCACGTGGACACCTGAGCCCAGGATTCCAGATCTGAGTTACAGGGGCCGGGCTGGGCGCCATGACACACGGCGGGTGGACCCAGACGGAGAGGCCCTGGGCTCTGCTCTTTGAGGAAGGAGGGGAGGACGGAGGACGGAGGACAGGGGGGAGGAGGGAGGACAGGGGGGAGGAGGGAGGACAGGCCGGAGGGAGGAGGGAGGACAGGGGGGAAGAGGAGGACGGGTGGGGGGGGGATGGCGGACAGGGGGAGGGAGGTGGGGGAGGGAGGGAGAAAGGGGGGGAGGGAGGACGGGGGAGGGAGGGAGGATGGTGGAGGGAGGACGGGGGCGGGAGGGACGGCTGGGAGGGAGGGAGGATGGGGGGGAGGGAGGACAGGGGGGAGGTGAGGACAGGGGTGGC